CTCCTGCTTGCCCCCCGCCCCGGGGCCAGGCCGGGGGACTTCAGGCCACACCCCCCACCCCATCGCTGGGCCGGGGGACCTGAGGCCGCGCCTTCAGCCCAGTGGGGCTTTATGAGGGACCTCAGGCCGTGCCCCCTGCCCCAGGCCGGGGGACCTGAGGCTGTGCCCCCTACCTGGCGGGGTTTGATGGGGGGCCAGGCCGGGGGACTTCAGGCCACACCCCCCACCCCATCGCTGGGCCGGGGGACCTGAGGCCGCGCCTTCAGCCCAGTGGGGCTTTATGAGGGACCTCAGGCCGTGCCCCCTGCCCCAGGCCGGGGGACCTGAGGCTGTGCCCCCTACCTGGCGGGGTTTGATGGGGGACCTGAGGTTGTGCCCCCCCCCCCCCCCCCCCCACCCCGGCGGGCGGGGGGGGGGGGGGGGGGGTCGGACAATTTCGAGGTGCACACAGGTGGGCAGGGACTTGACTCTGGGTCCCGCAGGAGGAAGATTTTTACTAATTTTATTTCATCTCTGACACTTCTATTATAGAGAAAGGGCAAATAGCAATATTAAAATATTTCCTCTAATTCCCTTTTAATGTGCATGAATTTCGTGCACAAGGCCACTAGTCAAAATATAAACAACAAAGTTCACATTTTTGATTGAAGAAATTAGTCACTTTTTTGCCTCAAATACATTTTCTGGCATGTATAATCACATTTGGTTTTATTATTCAGATAATGTTTTAATTTAGTCCTTATAAAATGTGCTTAAGAAATGTCTATGGATGTAGCATTATCCCTGGCTTATATACATCTGCCTCAGTTAAAGTAACCTGCTAAAAAGATTGGTTTAATGCTCAGTCAAAAGAAAATAAATGTTTTATGTGTTGTTTTTTTAATGCACAAAATAGAAATTTTTCTTTTAAAGAAATTATCCTAATCTCTCAATTTTTTAACCTCTTTTAGGCGGGGAGCAGCCGATTCCTCTCTGGAATGAACACGATGGGACAGCGGATGGAGAGAAGCCTAAGATTCTACTCTATTCCCTCAACTTGCAGTTTAAGGTGACATAGCAATAAGAATGTTACTCTTAGAAGGATTTTTCAAATTAATTAATGCCTGCTTTTTATAGAAAATTCATATGAGACATAAATATGCTAGCTGGAGAATAGAAATGAAGTATATCCACTAAAGAAAAATACTTTATAATTGTTTGACTATAATCTAGGGCAGTGGTTGGCAAACTGCGGCTCCCGAACCACATGTGGCTCTTTGGCCCCTTGAGTGTGGCTCTTCCGCAGCCTTAGGAGTACCCCAATTAAGTTAATAACAATGTACCTACCTATATAGTTTAAGTTTAAAAAATTTGGCTCTCAAAAGAAATTTCAATTGTTGTACTGTTGACATTTGGCTCTGTTGACTAATGAGTTTGCCGACCACTGATCTAGGGCCTTTTCCTATTTGCATTTTTTCAGTGTGCACATATTTCTGCATTTTAAAGAGCCTTGGATGTCCTTCCATGCAGAACATTTAGATCAACCAGCAAGAAATATTTTGTGCACTGTTCAATTAGCAGTAATACCTTGATAGAAACCTTCATATTTCCAATATTTTAAGACATTAGTGTTCTTAAAAATAAAATTATTCTTACCAAATACTTATTTAATTATAATGTATTTATAATTAACCCATGAACAGTCTAGATTTTTAATATACAAAATACTGAAATGAAATTTACTAACTAAAGGGAGTCCCTACTAATGAGAAATTAAAGAATGTTGGCTGTTTTATCAGTTTATTAGACATCCTATGTGTTTTAAAACATTCCATTTTATCGTATCGAAAGGTTTCATTGGAGTGGGTGGACATTGTTGACTTAAGAGTCCTTTTTTCCTTCTAACATTTAATCTGCTAGGGTATTCAAGTCACAGCTACAACTCCATCAATGAGAGCTGTGAGATTTGAAACTGGATTGATTGAACTGGAACTTTCGAACCGACTTCAAACCAAAGCCTTACCAGGAAGCAGCAGCTACCTGAAACTATTTGGTAAATGCCAAGTGGATTTGAATTTGGCATTAGGACAAATTGTCAAACATCAGGTGAGTGCAGAATGTGTTGACATTAGAACTGTAGCTTTTATATTTTACACATCAATTTCAACTACTTGAAATATCACTATATTTATGAAAATATTTTAAATTGCTAAAATTTCTGGTTATAAATTCTAATGAAAATTAATTTATAAAGGTCTTTACAATTTTACCTTGGTATTTCATTGAGTATTTTGGTGGTATATTGTTATAGTTTAGTGCAAATGCAACCATGTGAAACTTAATCCAGTATCTTCACAAGTATGTGCTTATAATTTCTCTTTATTTTATTAAACATTGTTTTTATTTCAATGCTTTGTGCTAATATTGGTGAGTTCTTAAAATGTTACTAAGTTTTGCCCTAACTGGTTTGGCTCAGTGGATAGAGCCGACGCCTGCGGACTGAAGGGTCAAGGGCATGGACTCGGTTGTGGGCACATCCCCAGTATGGGGCGTGCAGGTGACAGCTGATCGATGTTTCTCTCTCATCGATGTTTCTAGCTCTCTATCTCTGTCCCTTCCTCTCTGTAAAAAATCAATAAAATATATTTTTTAAAAATGTTACTAAGTTTCTCAGTTGTGCTGTAATATTGGCAAGTTTTGCATACCGAAATGTTAAACGTATATGTTGTAAAACATATATACATACATACACAGCAGTAAATCAGACTGTATTTTATAAAAATTAATATTCACAACTCAGAGTTTTTAGTGTTTTGTTTTTATTTTGCTAAAAATTATGTAGATTTTAACCTTTCCCTTCTGTGATTTGAAGAACTGATTAAATGAATATCAATCACACTTTCAAAATTGAGTTGCCTATATTAAAGAATATGTGGGAGGAATAAATGAACAAAAATTTCTTGTCATCTTTAGGAAAACAGTTAATTTGTTCAAATAAAAACATTTTGAGAGGAGCAAGGATCTCATTATCGTAAAACATTTAATACATTGTTGTTCAGAATATGGACCTCATCCTCAATTTTGTACAAACTTTGTTTGACTTTCCATTTAGTTCTTAAATACCCATTCATATTTTATATTGATTTCAGGTGTTTGTGGTATAGCATAAGGTATATATTATTGGTGCATGAAATTGAGAAAAATATACTATAGTTGTTTGGGTGCACAATACCATTAATGATGTTAAAACTTTTAGTTTCTTTTATTAAAACACTTTCCATTATTTGATTTTATTGAACTTTTAATTTAGGTTTATGAGGAAGCTGGTTCTGATTTTCATCAAGTTGCCTATTTTAAAACAAGAATTGGATTAAGAAATGCTCTCCGAGAAGAAATCAGTGGCTCTTCAGATAGGGAAGCTGTGCTTATTACCTTGAATAGACCGATCGTGTATGCGCAGCCGGTGGCCTTTGACAGAGGTGAGAGTCAGGCAAGACTTTTTTCTTGGATTTAGAACTGTTGGGGATGACACCAGATAAAAATCACTGTAATTAACCAGTGTAAATCTAAAATGGGAGTATCCCAACAGTTTCTTGCTTATTCCCTTCAGTTTTTAAAGTCATTTTACTTGTTAAAGTTATTTGCTTTCTACATGGATTGTAATGCTGAGTTTTTTAGTTTGGGTAACTAATGTACCCATTTGGTTTGCTAATGTCTTTATTTGCTTATACTCTAAATATTGATTATGTACTGTCTAGAAGTGGAATCTGAATACGGAAAACAGTATCCTGTCCTCCAGGAACTCTCAGCCCTGTGGGAGGAGTTAAGTGGACTCATAGCAGAGTTAGAGATCCATGTTCTAGGGCAGCAGTTCTCAACCTGTGGGTCACGACCCCTTTGGGGGTCGAACGACCCTTTCACAGGGGTCGCCTAAGACCATCAAGAAACACATATATAATTACATATTGTTTTTGTGATTAATCACTATGCTTTAATTATGTTCAATTTGTAACAATGAAATTGGGGTTACCACAACATGAGGAACTGTATTAAAGGGTCGTGGCATTAGGAAAGTTGAGAACCACTGCTCTAGGGGGTCAGGGAGTCTCTACCTTCACCTGTGCTGCTTAGAGGAGACACCAATTCTTCAGATTCAACTTGGAGTTAAGAGATCACCAGGGAGGCAAGGAAACAAAAGCTTGTCTTATTTGCCTTTGCATCCAATGGTCTAGAACAGTCCATGGCATATATAGCAGGAATTAAATAAATATTTGCTAAATGAGAGAGAACCTGAATGAAGGAATATGAGTACAGAGGTCTAAGAAAATACAGCAAGCAGCTTTCCTAAAAGGAAATAATGGAAATAAGGCTGAGCAGATAGAGTGGGTCTAAATAATGCATATTGGGTGAATATGTTGGAACTGTGTTTTAAAAGTAAGAACCATTTAGCAAGCTGTTTAAGATTTAAATTGGTGGTAGGTGTTATCTGGTGATAAGATCAGTTGGTTGGAAAATTTCTTTTGGTAATGTCATGGATAACATTTTATTTTTCTAGATCCAGTGCCTGTTTATTTCATTTCTCATCTTACCAGCCTCTCGTCAGCTTTCAACAACTCCTTAAAATACTTTCTACTCTGTGTTCCTGACTGACACTTGCTTTTTCTTTTCCTCTGGCCCTTCCTTCTTCATCTCTTTAGGCTCCCTCTATGCACTACATTCAATGAAGATTTTCCTTAGAATTCATTCTTGCTACACACTCAAATGTCTTTGACCTCTTCTCTAAAATCCATCTTTTCAATGTATACTCCTAGTATTCTACATCTCTCCTCTAGGAATTTTTAAACATTAGAAGCAGTAAGCTCTGCAGGGTCAGGGACCGTGACTGCTTTCATTTTTTCTTCCATCCCAGTGCCTGGCTCATAACAGGCATTTCACAAACAGTTTGTTGAATATATGAGTGAATGAATGAATGGACCTGGATTGTCTTCTTCCTTCTGCCATTTTTCAATTGTCTGCTTTTTGCTTCTTGGTTTCATTTGTCAAGTTGACTATATCATCTTAGATCCTTTTCATTCCTAATGCTACTATTTTCTGGGAATAATTTTTACTAATTAGTGGGATTTTGCAGCTATTGGGGTTTACTTACCATATAGCTTTACAGTTTTTTTAAAGAAATTTTCTTTCTTCCCTGCCTAAATCACCGAAAGCTGTGCTGTTTTGGCTGAACTATAAGGCTGCCTATGACAACTGGAATGAACAACGAATGGCTTTACATAAGGACATTCACATGGCTACAAAGGAAGTAGTAGATATGCTCCCCGGAATCCAGCAAACCTCTGCCCAGGCCTTCGGGACACTCTTTCTGCAACTCACTGTGAATGATCTGGGGATTTGCCTGCCTATCACAAGTGCTGTACAGGTACGGAACTCAAGTTCTCATCCAACACTAAGAACCAGGCAACTCTACTACCATTTCTAGGTATATAGAGTATCACAATAGATTTCTTAGGAGAGCAGTTTATAACTTGAGTTTAGTAAACAGCAAGTAAGATCGAACTACTTCAACCATTATTCATTCATCTACAGTATTAAAGGCGAATCTCATGAGATTTGTGCACTCTGATGTGCCTCAGCATAGTGATGAGATTGATTCCCATCTGATAACTTTTATATATATATTTTATTGATTTTTTACAGAGAGGAAGGGAGAGGGATAGAGAGTTAGAAACATCAATGAGAGAGAAACATCAATTAGCTGCCTCCTGCACAAGCCCTACTGGGGATGTTCCCGCAACCAAGGTACATGCCCTTGACCGGAATCGAACCTGGGACCTTTCAGTCCGCAGGCCGACTCTCTATCCACTGAGCCAAACCGGTTAGGGCCCATCTGATAACTCTTAATTTTGACCTTGACCAATAAGCAAGAAGAATTTTGTCTTCATAACTTTTGGGACTAATTCTCAGGAACACACATTTGCATGCACATGTGCATGAGAGAGAAAAGGTTATGAAATATGAAACCCTGTCAGACCAAGAAGTTGCAATTAAACAAATACAGAGGCCTTTATTTTACTGTTATAGTTTATCTTAAATAATCTGTAAGCAGTTGTTGAATGAATTTATTTTTTAGTAAACTCTAGGTTACCCTAGCTGGTTTGGCTCAGTGGATAGAGCGTCGGCCTGTGGACTGAAGGTTCCCACGTTCGATTCTGGTCAAGGGCACATGCCGGGTTGTGGGCTTGATCCCCAGTAGGGGGCATGCAGGAGGCAGCCAATCAGTGATTCTCTCTTATCATTGATTTTTCCATCTCTCTCTCCCTCCCTTCCTCTCTGAAATCAATAAAAATATATTAAAAACAAAACAAAACAAAAACTCCGGGTTGAGGATTGACACCATATGCTATGTTTGTGTCTCAGGAGTTGAATGGTAACCTTTAATCACATGATGTATGGACTCAGGAGGGCCCCACACACCAAGGGTGGTGGTCAGAATGCAAAGAACAAACTTTTCCTACACGAAAACAGAAGCTTGAAATAGAAAAGCAGATAATTAGCCTTTTGCAAATTTAGTTTAAAACAAAAAGCACATGGAAATGCATTTCACTTGAGTAATTTTTAAAGTAGGCATCTTTCTAAGCTACTTTCCAATGAAGCTTTCTGGGTTTCCCCCTTTATGGATTTTTGTTTCCAGGAATTCTATGAGAATTTCCAAATTTAAAAGTTGTCACCTTTTGTCTTGTTTCCTCTTTAACATATTTTGCAGTCCAATCACAGCGGAGACCTGGACACTGGCTCTGCCTTGGTGCTGACCATTGAAAGCACTCTCATCACTGCTTGCTCTTCTGAGTCTCTGGTTAGTAAGGGGCATTTCAAAAACTTCTGCATCCGTTTTGCTGACGGCTTTGAAACATCATGGGATGACTGGAAGCCAGAAATCCGTGGGGATCTAGTGATGAATGCCTGTGAGTGTCTTTTATTTTCTGTATGAACTTGAGAGTTTCTAAAAATTAAAAGAGAAAACAAAAACAACCTACTGGTATGTCTTCACTTATGAAAGTAAAGGATGTTCAGATATAGGAATATTATTGGACTTTGTAAAATGAGGGCTATTTCTATTTTTAAAAGATTGGAACATTTTTGTGAAAAACTACAACTTTCAGCAGTGTTGGTGAATAAACCAGGTAGCCATTCTTGTTGATGGTTTAGCATTCGAAGGTTTGCTCACTTCCTGATTTTTTCTATAATTGACTCATAAATGACCAGATAAAGCACCTTTCTTCTGTGGAGATCTTGAAAGAAAGTATAAAATCCAGTTCATCATGTAACAGAACAGTTGCAGATAACTAGGAGCAAGAAGACTGTCTTGATTAATGCCGACATGATTAAGTCCACACATCCAGATTTGTGGGATACAGAGCATAAATGGTGTGATTCCTTCGATTGCATAACATTCAAGGTTGGGAATAACTAAAGCTATGTGTATATGCTATTTTGAAGGTTAGGGGTTTATTTTATCCATTTTAATATTTTAAATATTATAACCATCGTAAAGCATCATTAATCTGAATAAAGAAGGTAAATTTTATTTGAAGAATGAAAGGTTGTGAACTAGAACTCCTCAGCCAATCTTGTAAATCAAAATTAATGCTTGATTATTTCTCAGAAGGTGGTATGCCATTGTTTATGCAGTTTTCCCCCTCTGCAGTGGAAGAAAATCTTCTTTCCAGTTCTGTTTTTTTTTTAGTTTATGACTTTGTAGTTTTTACTAATAGTAAGTATACTTACATAAACTAACGTAATATTTTTTTAAAAAAGAGTTGAGTATAAGGAAGAGAAATAAGAACAGTAGGAGTATGCTATTAAGTGGTTCTCAACCTTCCTAATGCCGCAACCCTTTAATACAGTTCCTCATGTTGTGGTGACCCCCAACCATAAAATTATTTTCTTTGCTACTTCATAACTGTAATTTTGCTTCTGTTATGAATCGTAATGTAAATATCTGATATGCTATATGTGTTTTCCGATGGTTGCAACCCACAGGTTGAGAACTGCTGCCTTAGGATATCTTTTTTTAAAAATATTTTTTTATTGATTTCAGAAAGAAAGAGAGAGAGGAGAGACAGAGAGAGAGAGAGAGAGAGAGAGAGAAACATCAGTGATCAGGGAGAATCATTGATTGGCTGCCTCCTGCACGCCCGCTACTGAGGATCAAGCCCGAAACCTGGGCATGTGCCCTGACCTGGTATTGAATCATGACTTCCTGGTTCATAGGTCGACACTCAACCACTGAGCCATGCTGGTTGGGCAGCTTTACAGATCATTTTAAAATTCTGCCCTGGACCCTGGCCGGTTTGGCTCAGTGGGTAGAGCATTGGCCTGGGGACTGAAGGGTCCCGGGTTCGATTCCGGTCAAGGGCATGTACCTTGGTTGCGGGCATATCCCCAGTGGGTGGTGTGCAGGAGGCAGCTCATCGTTGTTTCTCTCTCATCGATTTTCTGGCTCTCTATCCCTCTCCCTTTCTCTCTGTAGAAAATCAATAAAATATATTTAAAAAAAATAAAATTCTGCCCTGGAAAAAAAATGATCCAATTAATTTCCTCTCTAGGTGATAATGTTTTTTGTTTTTTTCGGGGGGGGGGGGGGGGGGGGGGGGGAGAATGTAGTAAAATTAGAATGGCCAATCTAATTTTTAGAATGTAGGAAGAGTTCAAAGGACCACATAAGTAGATAGTAAAGGTTAGACCAGGGGTGGGCAAACTTTTTGACTCGAGGGCCACAATGGGTTCTTAAACTGGACCGGAGGGCCGGAACAAAAGCATGGATGGAGTGTTTGTGTGAACTAATATAAATTCAAAGTAAACATCATTACATAAAAGGGTACGGTCTTTTTTTTTTTAGTTTTATTCATTTCAAATGGGCCGGATCCGGCCCGTGGGCCGTAGTTTGCCCACGGCTGGGTTAGACTCTTTTCATTAACATGAACTTAGAAAATTACATAAATCATGAAGTTTGAAAGACTCCAAGCTCTCTGTTAACACCTGGGTAGCATTCGCTCATGAGAGTTGAAATTGTCATTTTGGGTTGAGTATAGTGGTTGGTCCAACCTGGCACTTGTCTCTGCCGCAAAGACCACAGGAACCCTGGGTAAGAGCCTAGTTGGTTTCCTGCTCTTCACTTTCAGGATTCAGATCTGCTCCTAAACATCTTCATATTCCATATTAATTCATCATGGCTCTGTATTCTATAAATTTAAATAATCTTTTTTTAAAACTTAATTTTAAAGATTCTCTCCATTTCTTGGAAGTGGAAATTTCTAAAGTTTTTTTTACTCCTTCTCCCCCTTTTTTAAATCCTCACCTGAGGGTATTTTTTTTTTCCATTGATTTTTAGAGAGAGTGGAAGGGAGGTAAGGAGGGGGGGAGAGAGAGAAAGAGAGAGAAACATTGATGTGAGAGAGACACATTGATTGGTTGTCTCCTACATGTGCCCTGACCTGGGATGGGAACAAACCTGCAACCAAGGTGTGTGCCTTTGACCGGGAATCGAACCCACAATCCTTGGGTCTGAGGACTGACGCTCTAACCATTGAGCTGCTGACCCCCCACCCCCCCGTTTTTTTTTTTTACTTACTAGTTTTTGCTTTCACTTGGCCTCTTATGTTAGTCAAATTTTAAAGGGTTTCCTTTTCATTCTGGCATTCTTAGATTTGAAAGGGTAATCTAGGTTTCTTTGCTCTGAATTATGATCTTGACTATAAAGGTGCATTGGGTGATCTTTTACCCCGAAACAAGATCTAATTATTTCTTGTTTTATAATTATGTGTGAGGCACAGGTACCATATGGTTGAAAAATGTAATTTAGATTTTAAAGTCCTTGGTGCTATCTTAAAAATGAAAACTACATAATAAAAATTGTCACTTAGCAAATAGACCCTTTCTCCCAAAATAAGTTTTCCTACAACTCAGATTTGGGTAACATTTGAATACTAGTTTAAGATACAGAGTGAATCTCAAAGGACATTTCATTTAAAATGGATGTATATACTGTTAGGTTTAGATTGAAATTTGGTTTCCATTAAGGCTTACTGTAAAATGATTTTGATTCTGTCTTTAGACTTTACTTTGTTTAAAAGTTGTTTCAAGGATGGTATGTCCCTTACTGTTTAAAATTGTTGATTTAGTTAACCTCATTTTTGAAGCTGACATTATCAATTAACGCTAAGTGGTAGTAAATGTTTCAGAGTTCAAGTCAGATATGTTCCGGGGTAGGTCTATTACCTTATGAGTTTGACATCATAAGGAAAAGACAAGACTGATAAATCATGTCTGTGACCTAAAGTGGCAGTTCTTAGTTGTCATTTTTTAAACCATTTGCATTCTTAAAGTGCCATTCACTCCTGATGGCACAGATTGTCATAGCACCCAGAAACTAGAGCATCCGAGTCTGCCAGATGTTGTCACTCAGATAAGGAAATCACACACAACTGCAGCTGAATTCTTAAAATTATAGAATAAAATACTTTGAGATATGAAGTAGATACTACGCGTCATTTGAGGCAGCTTTTTCATTCTACAGATTAGAAACAGAAACCTAGAGTAGCCGGTGATTCTGTTCATATGTAGGTGATGCTCTTTGGGTGAAAAATTGTAATACAAAATTTTATCACAAACGTAATTTCGTTGCAAACCATTTTGGGGTGCTCTTTGTGCAGGTGTGGTTCCTGATGGCACCTATGAAGTGTGTTCCCGGACTACAGGACAGGCAGCTGCTGGTAGGTTCATATTTGGAATTACTTTTACTACATGTGTCAGGGAGAATCCTGCCTTTATCTGTATGTACTTTCAGCCTTTATATAAATAGTGAGGGTATCTTTTAACTAAACTTATTCTGGTCAAGGGGACACTTTGGAGAAAGAGGGAGCCGAAAACTCTGGGAAACCAGATAGGAGGTAATTACAGAAGGAATTAGCTGTCTTAACTAAGATGATAGCATGTATAAATTTTTATTATTTTGCTTGGTATAAATTAGGGTAAGCTAAAGGGAGATATCTGTTGAAGTGCTCTTAACTGTTGAGAGGGTGGGAGCTGTTGAGGTCAGTAGATTTCTTTCCTTCCTTACTGTTCCTCTTGTCCTCCCCAAGCCTAGCCTCAGTGCTCATCCTGAGTAATTGTCCTAGAGAGCAGCAAGGCGATGGGCCCCACTGACAGAGGACTGACAGGTCAGGACATTTCCAGAGTAACGTTAGAGAAGGAAAGGGGATGACAGGTGAACATACGTGTGGAGAGAAAGGTCACACTAAAGTCTTTGTTAGGGCTGTTGTTTATAAGTGTCAACAAGCCACTCAAGCTAACTTAACCCAAAGGGGGACCAATTAGCAGGATATTTGCAGACCATAGTTAAACTTGGGACTGGCTGTCTGGTGAAGAGAAGGAGCCAGATCAGTTGAGGGACGCTGGGAACAAGATCCATGTCAGCAGGACTCCAGCTCTCGTCTTCTCCATGGGCGCTTTGTTTTCTCACTGAGGACCCTTCTGACGTGGCGGGAAGCGAGGCTGCCGGCAGCTCAGGAGCCGGGGCCCTCATCACCAGGGAAGGACCGCTCTCACTAATCTGGGGGAGGGTTCTTATTTTTCCAACACTGACCCTACCCAGTCTAATCATCTAATTAATTCTGGCTACTGAGGGAGGGCCATGCCAGTTCTCACTCTAGCGTGTGAAGTGGAGAGGGGGAATCCACAGTCCCCAGGAGCGGGTGCTGCCCCAAGGAGACATATGCACACTGGACGGTTGGGGACTCAGTGCCATGGGCCGTATTCTGACAGACATTGGTGTTACATAGACCATCATCCACTTTATTCCTGAGATATTTAAATAGCTACACTCAAGACTGCCCAGAAATGTCACTTCTGTATTCCCACAGAGAGCAGTAGTGCTGGGACCTGGACACTGAATGTGCTGTGGAAAATGTGTGGCATCGATGTGCATATGGACCCGAACATTGGCAAAAGGCTGAACGCTCTGGGCAACACTCTGACCACACTGACTGGGGAGGAGGTCATAGACGACATGGCTGATCTGAACTCCATGAACATCGGTGACCTGTCGGACGAGGACGAAGTGGACACTATGTCTCCCACTGTCCACACTGTACGTACACTCACTGCGGGACGTTTCCCAACTGGCTCTTACCTTGAGATGGGCTATTACTAACTCAGTGTTACTTATTATATTGTGATTGCTAATTGTGCAGGCAGGAAGGGACTGGTGGTTCCTGTGTCTGCATTTCATAACATTGTTTTTAATGTCATAATAATGTCTTTTAATTGATTCCTTGTTCCATAATAATGTCTGTCAACCAACTTGTGCCTTAACCAACAGGTGACATACTAACATTAAAAGTGCAGCGGATCCGTAGTGACAGAATGTAAATTAGTGGTTTCTTCAAGCTAGGAGCCTCAGGGGGCTCCTGAGGGGACTGGAAGAGACTGCTGATGGTTACAAGGTTCCGTATGGGGGTAGTGAAAATATTCTGATAGATTGTGGTGATGAGCATAACTTTGTAAATAAGCTAAACACCACTGAATTGTACAATTGAAATGGGTGTATTTTATGCATGTAAATTATAGCTAACTAAAGATGTTAAAAAATGAAGCTCAAAAGCAAAGTATATACATGCACACAAAATATATATAACTAGAAATATGTATTTCTATCTCTACTGTACATTTTATAGTATCAAATTATTTGATAGTTAAAAAGACAGTCTCTGCTTTCATTCTGGTATTGATTAAACTATTTTTCAACTATCTTTTAACCATTGTATCATGAAATACTTTTGTTCTTGGAAAGACATTTTTTTAAAAAATTGATGTTACTGTTTATTGTTTAGAGTTCAGATGGAAGTTCAGTAAGTGGAGATGGCCACAAGCTCACCTTTGGGCAGCGACTTGTAAATCACCTGCTAGGCCTGACGCCCCCACACCAGCGCTATTCTGTTCCTGCAGAGTATTTGTGTGAGCCAGAGCAGGGGGGCTCCCCACAGTCAGGCCAGGCCCATTTGAAAGTGTGCAGAGCTCACTCATGGGGAAATGTAGGTGGTAACTAAATAGATTTCTGTGAAAATGAAGGGATATCAATCACTGGAGAATTCCAATCATCATACTTAATATAGATGCCTTTGATTCTTGCATGCTTCTTTGATTTGTGTCATTTTTGTGATAGTGTAGATTTGCTGTGTGACCACAGGGTGGTACTAACATTTGTGCTTTGATTTTTTCAGGAAGCTGTAGAATATCGAAGACAAGGAGCATCTTGTAGCCAGCCGGGAGATCTGAGAGGCAGAAAAATGATGAAGCGAATAGTGGATATCAGAGAGCTGAATGAACAAGCCAAAGTCATAGACGATCTTAAGTATGTACCATGCTTTTTCACTTAATACAGTCCTCCCTAATGATAGAATCATCAGGTTTTAAATGTGGAGAGAGATTGTGTGGACCAGTACAACTCTTTTAGTTTATAAATGAGATGAGCAAGGCCAGGGAGGTGTGGCAGTTTGCCTGACATCCTGCATCCATTAGTGATCAAGTTAGGCCTGAAATCCTTGTCTGGTGCTCTTCTCGAGTCCGCATTTCTGAGAAGTTTATGACTGACTTCATATCACATATATGTATCTCTACATGTACATGTACACTTACATGTATCTTCACATGCCTATATAAATATATGCATTAGTATTTCAGAAATTCAGATTTTTGAAAGGGGAAACAAATTGAGCATTTGACATGTTATCTCAGTTTAATCTCCACTGCATTTCTTGAGGTTAGATGGCATTATCTAAACTTTCTAGTTGAGAAAGCAGGCTAGGGGGAGATAAGCATTAGAATTTGAACTTGTGTGGTCTGAACTCAAAAGTGCATGCTTGTTTTGCCTGCCTGCATTAGTGTTTCTCTAGGTCTGAGGTGGGTGTGGGGTAAGTCAAGAGTAGGGAGTACATGGTAGTAATTTATTTTCTGTAGCTGTGGCCTGCTGGATGGTACTAATACTTTCTCTATAAGACTTTTCTTCTTGGAAAACTTTGAAATTTTTGTTTTCCCAGAGGTGATATTCATGCCTCATCTTTTCTAATCTTTGTACACCTGTAGCTGTGTTGCTGTTGTTTTTTGCATTGAAGGACTTTATACAAACGTATGCATTTTTGTACAGTGAAAGGTATTACCTAAGAACTTGTATACCAGTTAGTTATGATACAGTGATTCACATTTTCCTGTTGACTCACATTATAGTTTGAGTTTTGTTCTCGGGGAGAAAATGGCTTGAAGCAAATACATACTTCCTCTCCTAAAATCTTACTTAAGGCTTAAATTATAGGTAGAATTTTACATACAGGCATTCTTCTGCAGAGTGGATCCACAGCTTTCATAAGATGGTCAAAGAGACTCTCAATACAGAAATGAGTAAGACCATTTCCTAACACATTGGATGAACTTTGTTATAGTTTGCTTGGTATGAGTGTTAACTTCATGGGGGATTTTGGCTTGTTCATACATAATCTTTGATATTCTGAAAAGTGAAAGAATGAAAAAGGAGTAAGTGAAAATCATCTTACTTTGTAACTTCTTTATATTCATTGCCATATTTCTTTTGCGTCCAGAAAATTAGGTGCAAGTGAAGGAACCATAAACCAAGAAATTCAACGTTACCAACAATTAGAATCTGTTGCTGTGAATGACATTCGAAGAGATGTTCGTAAAAAGTTACGGAGGTCCAGTATGCGAGTGAGTCAGAATTTACCAAGAATTTCATTAAAGTAGACATTTTCTTTTTAGTTTAGGAGACTTTCTGATGAGACTTTTATTGTTCTCTTTCTTCCTCCATTGCTGGTTTGTACACCTTCCAACTACTCTGTAGCAGGCACTGTTTATAGCACTTTATGTTTAACAACCCATTAAGTCCTTACAACCACCCTATGAGGAGCTTGTAGCATTTTCCCCATTTTAAAGATGAGGAAACTGAGATAGAGAGAGGTCAAGTAATTGACCAAGGTTATACACCAGCAATTCCCATGGAGCAAGAATCAAACCCAACAGTGGGACTCTGCAGTCTGTACCCTTAGTCACCATATTCTTTTTGCCTTTCATGAAGTCAACTTTCTCTTTAGTCTCCACTTCAAATGTGATGTCTTTGAGATGTCCATTCTACCCCATCTCATTCCCCACAGCTGACTTTATCATTTGCTTGTATAGTTGCCTTTATTAGAGTTTGAGTTGCTTAAAGAACAAGTTATTTTTTTTAAAATGTATTTTATTGATTTTTTACAGAGAGGAAGGGAGAGAGATAGAGAGTTAGAAACATCGATGAGAGAGAAACATCGATCAGCCGCCTCCTGCACATCTCCTACTGGGGATATGCCCGCAACCCAGGACCATGCCCTTGACCGGAATCGAACCTGGGACCTTTCAGTCCGTGGGCCGACGCTCTATCCACTGAGCCAAACCGGTTTTGGCAGAACAAGTTATTTATCTTTGAATCCACTACTTACATTTTCTGGGATTTAGTTCAATTGCTGAATAATTGAAACAAATACACATATAATAGGAAATAATTCTAAAACTTATTCAAATGGAGGTAGGTTGCTTTGGGTCAAGGTGGTCTGGTTAATGGAAAATTTACTTTTAAAAAAAAGATAAATGGGTTCTTAACCATTTTTTTTAATGAATAGCAGAACCCTCTTTTTTTTTTTTTTACCAGAATAAGGTTTTGGATGGCACCCCACTACATACAAAGAGATCAAATCACAGTTGCTGAATCAGAGGAAGGGGGAAAGGCACAAAGATCCATCATTTATTGGCTTGAACTTTCTTCCCTTGTTCAACCCCTGGGTCCCAGGCAACCTAGTTTGAATACTGTTCTAAATTATTGACTTAAATTAAAGATAAAATCCAATTTGAGTTTTATTCATCACTGACTTCTGTTACTAATAAATGGGTAGTGATAATCTATAATGCATAATTCTGTATTTAAAATTTTTGCTGTTATGTACCTAATAATCATACAATACAATGGGGCCTTGACTTACAAGTGTCCCGACTAACGAGTTTTTCAAGATACGAGCCGTCTCTCGGCCGATTTTTTGCTTTGAGTTGCGAGCTAAAATTCGGGTTACGAGCCAGCTTCAGATACCCCACCGCTAGTTGGCGCAACGAACGTCACAGTGATTTGACATACGAGTAATTTGAGTTACGAGCTCCGTCACGGAACGAATTAAACTCGTAAGTCAAGGCCCCACTGTATAATTAAAATATGCTTGTGTAGTATTTATAAGGTAGCTTATACTTGGTAATTGAGAATAAAACTAGGTAGAGAGGATTAGGGAAATGAATGAAACATGTGAACACCTGTCTCCCTTGGCGTTTCCCCCTCACTTCCCAGCAAGTCCTCTTGCATTACCCATCGCTGTATAGGAATCCTTTTCATATCTAGCCCCTGTCACTCATTGGGAGAAGAGGGATTTGGAGGCCAGGAGAGTGCCAAATCACCACTTCCTTTCCTTTGCCATAGTGTCGTGTCGCAGAATCGTGTCGCAGGAGCCCTTGGGTGGTACTTGAGATGAATGGTGTTCTTTTCCTCTTTCCTTGTAATCCTCATTTCCTTTTTTCTTTCCTTTTTAATTGTTTCCTTTCTTCTCACTCTGTTTCTGTACCCCTTACCCCCTCTCCCAATCGTTTTCTTTTTTTCTCTCAGGCCAGCTGGAGCTAATATTTCCTAGCTCTCCTAGGGGACATGAGGACTAAAGTAGCTGCCTCATGCTCTGCTTTGATTCATTTACATTGTTAAGTGACATTTAAAGTCACTTGCCATTGACCTGGGGATACAGCTAACTGGTTTATAGTAGTTTACAGTCACCCTTTTTTATCTCTCATTTCATTAGGCTGCTTCCCTGAAGGATAAGTGGGGATTGGGTTACAAACCGAGTTACAACCGATCGAAGACCATTTCGGCCTCTGGAAGACCACCTCTTAAGCGAATGGAAAGGGCAAGGTAATGTCTATTCCAGCCAACAAACCAAATGGTAACTTCTGACTCCTTTGCCAAGGTCCATTATTTATCTGCTGTGTTTTAATTGTGGGAATTACAAAATTATGATAGCAAAACTGGACGTAATTAGTCAAATACCAGTAATACTGGATACTGTCAAACTAAGAAGTTTATTTAAGGAATTTCCTTATCACATTTGTGCCACAACCATGGTGTGCTTTCCAGGAATGAAGTACATTGCTTTTTAGACAAGTATACATATAAACTTACAGACTATCAAAAGAAGTGAAAATGTGCCCATTAGTAGCTGCTGCTCTAAGTTTGTCATTTTAGAAAATGTTTGAGTTCACACACATTTAGCATGTGAAAGAATGGAAAATTTTACATATTGAAGAAAAATACTGTTTTACTAGTAAATAAGCACTATAAAGTAAAAATTTTAAATTCTTTTCTGTATGGTTTAGTTTTAGAAAATTTGTGACAACAAAACATAGACTTTTTTAAATGGGATGCTAAAGGTTAAGAAATGCAATACCAAAAGTTGAATCCTTGAGTAAGGTAAATATTTAGAAATAGAACATAACGTTATTAATAAGACTTTTATAAATCCAGCTTTTTAAAAAAAAACACAGAATGTTAATGTTTTATAACTTTCTATTTCACTTGCAGTTCTCGAGTAGGAGAGACTGAGGAGCTTCCAGAAATCCGTGTGGATGCAGCATCTCCTGGGCCCAGAGTAACGTTCAATATCCAAGACACAGTAAGAGAGGCATTCCTGATTAGATACACAGTGCTGATAATTACAAAACTATAGTAGCCAGACAATTTTAAAGTGTTGATTCCTACCTGTGACTGTTGAAGTGTCTACATTACCAAACAGCAGGGCACTGCCCGGGTGCAGTGTTTTGCATGTAGAATAAAGATCCCAGCTGCTTGCTCTTAGGTAGAAATGTTGAATAGTTTTTCTTTCAATTGCAAATCCATACTAAACTAGGTCTTATTCACAAATGTAAATGTGGAATGTTTATACTTTATGTATTTTATTATTTATATATTTAAGGGTATATCTAAAATAATGAAAGCCTAAGCAACCATTGCAACCGAACGGACAACCGAACAGGCTGTATGGGGCGACTAGGCCGGCAGCGGGGTTAGTGAGGGATGACCAAACGACTGAGCAGCAGGCTGCATGGGGCGACCAGGCCTGCAGGGGTGCAGTTGGGGGTGACTAGGCCAGCGGGGGTGGGGGCGTTTCCCCCTCACTTCCCAGCAAGTCCTCTTGCATTACCCATCGCTGTATAGGAATCCTTTTCATATCTAGCCCCTGTCACTCATTGGGAGAAGAGGGATTTGGAGGCCAGGAGAGTGCCAAATCACCACTTCCTTTCCTTTGCCATAGTGTCGTGTCGCAGAATCGTGTCGCAGGAGCCCTTGGGTGGTACTTGAGATGAATGGTGTTCTTTTCCTCTTTCCTTGTAATCCTCATTTCCTTTTTTCTTTCCTTTTTAATTGTTTCCTTTCTTCTCACTCTGTTTCTGTACCCCTTACCCCCTCTCCCAATCGTTTTCTTTTTTTCTCTCAGGCCAGCTGGAGCTAATATTTCCTAGCTCTCCTAGGGGACATGAGGACTAAAGTAGCTGCCTCATGCTCTGCTTTGATTCATTTACATTGTTAAGTGACATTTAAAGTCACTTGCCATTGACCTGGGGATACAGCTAACTGGTTTATAGTAGTTTACAGTCACCCTTTTTTATCTCTCATTTCATTAGGCTGCTTCCCTGAAGGATAAGTGGGGATTGGGTTACAAACCGAGTTACAACCGATCGAAGACCATTTCGGCCTCTGGAAGACCACCTCTTAAGCGAATGGAAAGGGCAAGGTAATGTCTATTCCAGCCAACAAACCAAATGGTAACTTCTGACTCCTTTGCCAAGGTCCATTATTTATCTGCTGTGTTTTAATTGTGGGAATTACAAAATTATGATAGCAAAACTGGACGTAATTAGTCAAATACCAGTAATACTGGATACTGTCAAACTAAGAAGTTTATTTAAGGAATTTCCTTATCACATTTGTGCCACAACCATGGTGTGCTTTCCAGGAATGAAGTACATTGCTTTTTAGACAAGTATACATATAAACTTACAGACTATCAAAAGAAGTGAAAATGTGCCCATTAGTAGCTGCTGCTCTAAGTTTGTCATTTTAGAAAATGTTTGAGTTCACACACATTTAGCATGTGAAAGAATGGAAAATTTTACATATTGAAGAAAAATACTGTTTTACTAGTAAATAAGCACTATAAAGTAAAAATTTTAAATTCTTCTCTGTATGGTTTAGTTTTAGAAAATTTGTGACAACAAAACATAGACTTTTTTAAATGGGATGCTAAAGGTTAAGAAATGCAATACCAAAAGTTGAATCCTTGAGTAAGGTAAATATTTAGAAATAGAACATAACGTTATTAATAAGACTTTTATAAATCCAGCTTTTTAAAAAAAAACACAGAATGTTAATGTTTTATAACTTTCTATTTCACTTGCAGTTCTCGAGTAGGAGAGACTGAGGAGCTTCCAGAAATCCGTGTGGATGCAGCATCTCCTGGGCCCAGAGTAACGTTCAATATCCAAGACACAGTAAGAGAGGCATTCCTGATTAGATACACAGTGCTGATAATTACAAAACTATAGTAGCCAGACAATTTTAAAGTGTTGATTCCTACCTGTGACTGTTGAAGTGTCTACATTACCAAACAGCAGGGCACTGCCCGGGTGCAGTGTTTTGCATGTAGAATAAAGATCCCAGCTGCTTGCTCTTAGGTAGAAATGTTGAATAGTTTTTCTTTCAATTGCAAATCCATACTAAACTAGGTCTTATTCACAAATGTAAATGTGGAATGTTTATACTTTATGTATTTTATTATTTATATATTTAAGGGTATATCTAAAATAATGAAAGCCTAAGCAACCATTGCAACCGAACGGACAACCGAACAGGCTGTATGGGGCGACTAGGCCGGCAGCGGGGTTAGTGAGGGATGACCAAACGACTGAGCAGCAGGCTGCATGGGGCGACCAGGCCTGCAGGGGTGCAGTTGGGGGTGACTAGGCCAGCGGGGGTGGGGGGGCAGTTAGGGGAGATCAGGCAGGCAGGCAGGCAGGCAGGCAGGTGAGCAATTAGGAGCCAGTGGTCCCGGATTGTGAGAGGGATGTCCAACTGCCGGTTTAGGCCCGATCCTGAGGACATAAACCGGCAGTTGGACATCCCCTGAGGGGTCCTGGATTGGAGAGGGTGCAGGCTGGGCTGAGGGGGAACTCCCCCCCCCCTCCTTGCACAAATTTTGTGCACCCGGCCTCTAGTAGAGAGATAATAGCAGAAACCAGAAATGAAAAAGTCAGCTTCAAAGTAATATTCTAATTTCATAGCATATTAAAAATGTTTGTTTTGTTTTTTGTATATTTGTTTACTTTTAAACCATTGTTTTTTATTTTGCGTGAGTTTTTATACATTTCTTATTATTTTAAGTTGAAAAAAACAGTATGGGGAAGCACACCGCAGTCCAGCCCTCCCGGGGAAGGGTATTTTCAGGTACTTCTTAAGAACAACATAAATTCTGCTTTAAATGAATTAACCACCTGAAAATCTGCTTTCAAAATTCCTTCCTCTCATTCCATACTAAACTCAGACATCAGAAATATTTTACATAAAGGTTTAAGATTGTTTAAGTTAATAAGCTCTTGCATAAATATATTTTAGTTTTATACTTTATAGTTTAACATTAATTATTTAATCTTCAAAATTAAAAGGCTAAATCAACTTACCGAATCAACTCAACCAAATTGTAAACCAAAAAAATGCAATTTTATTACCGTTATTTGCTAATCCCCAAGTGAATCTCCTTTTCCCACATTAAACTACAAAATGAATATTTTCTTTAAAAAATATAGTTAACTATTTCTAACTAAAATCAAATTTATCTCAGAAAAACAAATTAATCAATCAATGTTACTTCTTTTGAGTCATTGGTATAAAAAATGTATACAAACAATCTAGAAAATTATTCTTATGCTCAAAACAGTATGGAAAATGTATGATGTAGTCATAATTTATAAGTCAAATTAACATTTTTTTAAAATTAAATCTTTATTGTTCAGATTATTACAGTTGTTCCTCTTTTTTTCCCCATAGCTCCCCTTTATGAGCCAGATATTTTACCTAAATATGTCATAAAAGTAAAATTGAATTTAAAAAATGTGCCTACATACCAGTTATATGAACCTTTGTTTAGAAATTTCCATCAAGTTACTTTAAAAAACTGGCACTTAGCCCACATATATTTTGTTTCCCTTTCCTGACCTTTTATACTAGAGTTTCAATATATATCCCATAGTTCCACTGAATTTAGTTAAACTGAATTTTGTTTTAGAACCACTGGATTGTAATACAGTGAGCTTGGTAAACATATCCTTTTTCTAAAAATGATCTTGGAAATAAATCATTTACAGTGAATTTAATGGAATCTACTAATTAAGTTGATATTTTTTCCTGCCCAACATTTTAAAATGGATATAATTGACATATGACATATTAGCTGTACGTGTACAGTCTAATGATTTAACATATGTATATATTGGGAAATGATTGAGTCTTAAATACATTAATATTTGAATTGATTCAAGTCCTATTTTTAAATAGCAGTGTATGCTGTTTATAAAAAATAGTATATACAATTACAAAATAGATCATTAGGCATGGTTAAATAGAAAATAAATATAAAACAAAGGGATATTTATCCATATAAATTTTTACTATAGTTTAAAAAATTTTAAAGTATTTAATGATAAAATCTGAATTTATATATTTAATCAATAACATGTATATAGTAAAGAGTGAACAAAAACTGAATTCTGCAAATGTTTAGAATTGTGAAATAGGTAATTTGAATTTCACTAGGTATCTAATATAGTAGCAGCAATAAATTGCTCAAATCTTGCACATTACACTTGATAGAGGCTTATCAATTCTCAAAGGATAGTCAAGCAACTCTCCAAATTGGGAATTGTAGTAGGTCATAGGAGGTTTTGCTGTTTCTTTGACCTACTTAAATGCAATAGCCACAGGGTGCAGTCTTCATTCAATTAGTGACAGGGTATCTAGTCACCCTAATATATAATAGCAATCTTAAGTTTAACTGATTAATGTGTTTATATCTGAAGCTATTTGTTTTTGTCAACCATTTGGGACTCATTTGTACAGGATGTACCCAGCAAAATTCCCTACAAGGGATTTAACTACATGAGAACGCATCTCTGCCATCACTACTGCCCTCTTGCCCTATGATTATGGCTGATCATTGCTTCCTTGTCTCCACAGCATGTTTAACTTTCGCTTCGTACTAATTAATATGATGATATATGTTTATCTGAGTGAAGTTTCACTCTAGTGTTTAGTATGTCAGTGGTGTGACTTTCTGTGGTTTGATCTTACGCTTCCTTCCTTGCTGCACCGTTTCATAAGATCATAAATCTGACCTTTCTTTCCATTCAGAGTGAGGAAATTTGACTCTGAGACTATTTTTAAATGCTTACACATGTCTTTTTCTTTTTTAATCGAGAAGAGATTCATAATGTGAACCTGATTCATGTTTCCTCTTTTTACAATCAGTTTCCAGAGGAGACAGAACTGGACCTTTTGTCAGTCGCCGTCGATGGTCCCTCCCATTACTCATCCGCCAGTGAAGGGTCCCATTCCGTGTTCAGTTCTCCCAAAACTCCAGGTGTTACTTTCCAATCTGAAGACAGCCGACGGGATGACAGTTTGTCTTCTACAAGCGAAGATTCTGAGAAGGATGAAAAGGACGAAGAGCATGAGAGAGAAAGGTTTTATATTTACAGGAAACCCTCGTGAGTAGCCTTTTTGTGTTAAGATCCTTGGGGAGCATTTCTGAATTTAGGACCGAGCTTAAAGCATTATATATAACTGTTTACTTTCACAGAAAAACATATTAATGTGCCTAACGGAGTCAGACTAAGAGACATGGCCATAGTTTACTAATGTAGTTTAGCTCTGTATGGCATTTTTTTCTTTTCCTATACTTCTGCCTTTTAATAAAATCTGAGAAGATTTGCAAAATTCCATCTCCTCCCAAATGTAGAGTGTGGTGCACTCACTCATATTTTGCCTCCTCCACACCAGTGATTGTGCCTGTGCCCTCGGAACCCAGCACACGACCGGGCACATAGTAATAGCTCTCAGAACATAATTGTTGAATAAAATGTGACTCCGATACACTTAAGAAAAACTTCAGTTAGTATGAGCTGGTTGACTATTTTGTGTGAATTTATAAACTATCAGTATAATTTATATGCAGACCGTTGTTCACATTGCATGTAGAAGAGTAGTTTGTTAAAAACTCTTCCCACTTCACTGCAGTGTGATGATCAGTTGTTCTTTCAGCAGACATACGTCTCGTAAAAAAGCCACAGGCTTTGCTGCTGTTCACCAGCTGTTCACAGAGCGTTGGCCCACAGCTCCCGTCAACCGGAGCCTCAATGGCACAGCTACTGAGAGAAATATCGACTTTGAACTTGACATACGGGTTGAAATTGATAGTGGAAAATGTGTGCTTCACCCAACCACCCTCCTACAAGAACATGATGATATAAGCTTGAGGAGGTAAGAAACTGATCAGACGAGGGTACATGTAATTTCGTTTGTTAGAAATACTATTTATCCCATATAATAAAAGCCCAGCAACCGAATGGCAGAACTACCGGTCGACCAGTCACTATGATGCACACTGACCACCAGGGGGCAGACGCTCAACATAGGAGTTGCCCCCTGGTGGTCAGTGCACTCCCACAGTGGGAGTGCTGCTCAGCTGACCGGGATGAGCGGTTGCAGGAGGAGCTGCTCAGAGGGCGGGTCCACAGCCACTCAGCTGACCCGGATGAGTGGTGTTCCCACAGTGGGCCGATCCCCACAGGCCACGCCCCCCCACCAGTGCATGAATCCTGTGCACCAAGCCTCTAGTGTAGTATAAACAAACTCCCCCACCCCCACATCCCAAAATGCAGATTGAAATTGATTTAATCATACTTAAGATGTGTGAGTGGTTATTTGTATAGTATACTATTTCTTTAGTCAAGTGTATAATATTATTTGGCAACTAGAAATGGATGTCTGATTTAGATTCTAGAAAATTCTTTAGTTAAAATAGTTATATATTGGGCATGCTTGTACTTTAGAGAGCAGTGTAGTGCTCAGGAATGTTTGGTTATTGAGAGTTTTGATGAAGTCATAAAGATGTAAGAAAGACTGGATTAGTTGCACGAAGGGCCTCCATGTGCTGGGATGCTGTCCAGGGTATAACTGCAGCTTTACCATTTGTGTCATTCAATGAGTAAATAGTGCTGTAAACAGGCTTGATGTTAGATTAGTTTTTCTTTGATTTTTTGTTTTGCTTTTCTCTCCTAATCTAACAGAGGATTATAAGAAGATAATAATGATTGTGTGGGTGGGTGGGTGGGAAGGTAGATAGCACCAGAGGGTGGATGCTGATAGTCCTTGAAGCTGAGAGAAGGATAGTAGATTCATTATACCATCTGTTTACTTTTCTTATGTTTGAAATGTTCCATAATAAGAGGTCTTTAAATGGTCTATTTGCTTAAGGAGGCTTTTATAAAATTACAAGATACAAAGTTAAGTTCTTACAAAAGTAGTAGTGATGATAAAAGGTGACTTTATTTATTTTGGGTTGAACCACAATAACTTGCTGGTATTCCACTGGTTTTACCTCTATAAAGGGCAATTTCATTTGGTTCAACCTACTGTGTTCATGTGACAGTCACAACCTTAGGTGAGAGTAAAGGTAACGGTGCTGTGTATTAGGGATCATAGAGCAGAAACATTACTGTGCAAGGCATTGGCTGCTGTAGCTGGAGACACTGAGCAGCTTTACTTTCTCAGCTTCATTAATGAGGATGACATTCCATTTACTGTATAAACAAGAGTTTGATTTTAAACAAAAGGAAAGGAGAGAAATGTCATTTTTTTAAAAAAGATAAACATTTTTTGTTTATAGAAGTTATGATAGAAGTTCCAGGAGTTTAGATCAAGATTCTCCTTCAAAAAAGAAGTTTCAAACTAATTATGCTTCTACCACCCATTTAATGACTGGCAAGAAAGTCCCATCATCGCTGCAGACAAAGCCGAGTGATTTGGAAACAACAGTCTTTTACATCCCTGGAGTCGATGTAAAGGTACAAACTTCATGTCTAGGGTGTGGGATGAGGTTATTAGTACCTGTGTTTATTTTCTACCAGACATGCACTTCCTTCACCAGTTATATGAAGCTGAGCTTTTCCAAGGTTTTTCTCTAGCCTGTGAACATCTGAAGTGCAGGCTGTCACTTTCTTTAGGCAGATTTCACCACAAAAGTTGGGCAGAAAGAAGTTAATTTTATTTTCCATACATTGATATTCATAACATGTTTGCTAAGGCTTGCCTAGTGCAACTTTATTAAACAACTGTTTTTTAGATTCTAGAATCACAGAATCCTATAATGTTAAGCTAGAAATAACTTAAAATATTATCTGGGGTGGCCTTTTTAGTTTTGAAAATGGAAGAAAGCTAAAAACGTGTCATGGTCACAGAGCTAACTTGTAAACACGGGACCTGGGTCTTCTGACTCCTGGGCCCATGTTCATTCTACACATTTTCCTGCATTTCTTGTTTATTCTCATCTGCATAATTTTAACTTTGAAAGTCTGTTGTTGTTGTTTTTTTCAATACAGTTGCATTACAACTCCAAGACACTAAAGACTGAATCACCTAATGCCTCCAGAGGGTCTTCCCTGCCAAGAACACTCTCTAAAGAGTCCAAGCTTTCTGGTATGAAAGATAGTGCCGCCTCTCCTCCTCCTTTATCTTGCACTATCCAGAGCAAGACTAACACCTTACTTCCTCCCCAGCCCCCACCTATTCCCTCAGGTATTGAAGAAAAATGAACTTGACTTTTACTTTTTTTCATAGCTTAATGTTTAGTTATCACCTACTTGCTCTATTGAGACTTTCAAATTCACATGTTTAAGAAAAGAGGAAATAGACTTAATAATGACTGTACAAAATTTATAGATGGAACTGTAAGCCAACTACTTTGGGCTGTTTTTAAAATTGTTATTACCTTAAAATATCCACTGTTAAAATAAACTTAATATACCAAATACTTAATTTTTTTTTAGATCTATGCATATTTAGAAAAAGTTGTAGGTCCAGTTTGGGAGCTGATGATCTGGATGGAAACATCAGACTTACACAAGATTGAGTATACTGGGCTTGACCACATTATTATCTATTATTGTGTAACATATTACCCAAACTTGGTGGCTTCTAATCTCAAACATTAATGACTGGCAAGAAAGTCCCATCATCGCTGCAGACAAAGCCGAGTGACTTGGAAACAACAGTCTTTTACATCACAGATTCAGTTTGGCCTGATAGATCTTTACAAAGTTGCTGTCAAGATGTTGGCAAGGGCTATGTCATCTGAATGCTTGGCTGGGTCTTGAGCATCTGCTTCCGTAATGTCCCACTGCACATGGTAGGCACACTGCGCCTTAGTTCTCCCCCATAGGTCTCCCCGCTGGGCTCCTGGTGTGTTCTCCTGGCAGGGCAGCTGGCATCCTTCGAAAGCAGCGATCACAAAGAGAACATGGCTGAAGCAGCTCCATCTCTTATGGCTTAGCCTCAGAAGTCGGGTATCCTTCCTTCCACAATGTCTATTGATCCTACAGCTCAGCTCTGCTCACTGAGGGAGGGAACCATACAGGGGCATGAGTGCTGGGGGGCCAGGACCGTTGGAAGCTATTTTGGAATCTGGGTATCACACCACGTGAATACCACCTTCCCTGAATAGAATTTCTAAAATGGGGAATGTCAGGCTGGATAGTAATTATTTGAAACAGTTTCATTTGGGAGATGGAACTTGATTATATAAATCGTTTACAATAGCTAGTAATCATGATAATAATGCATTCGTTTTCTACCATTTTCAGTTGACAAGGCACAGCTATGTCCACTATGTGCAGGAGAGAGATGATTATTCCCATTTGATAAATAAGGAAAGTTAAGGCTTATAGAAGTTGAATTTCTTTCCTAGGTTTACAAAAGAATATATGTTGGAGTTGGAAACCTAAGCCAAAGTTAGCAAAGTCTGAGATAGCTGTTATACTCATTTTATTGATGTGGAAATATTTAGTTAGGTAGAAGGAAAGAGATGGCAGCCCATGTAGGGAAGCATTGTAAATACGTGCAAGCTGAGGACAGCAAGAACATAGGGAAGCCTGGAAATAATGACTTTTTCTTCACTTGCCACAAAATATTGTCTGAGTTCTCTGTATCTTCTTAAGTGGACAAAATAATGCTAATGAGAAATTCAGCAAAGTATAAACTTGAAAAGCTGAACCAAACTTTGTAAGCTAGAGCAAGTAGGAATAACTTGTGCTACTTACATCATTAGTCATCTTTGTATTCCAACATTAATATATCATTTCTATCAACCTGTTCTCTTTATTACATTCATGTACAGTTTTATATATAAGGTGCTTCACCTGATTAAACAGTCATATATTTCGAATGTCTCACAAAATTATCATATTGTTTTATTAAATTCAACTCACATTTGTCAATATTCTAGCCAAAGGAAAAGGAAGTGGAGGAATCAAAACAGCCAAGTTATATGCCTGGGTAGCACTTCAGTCACTGCCAGAGGAAATGGTGATCAGTCCCTGCCTGTTAGACTTTCTAGAAAAGGCTCTGGAAACTATCCCAATCACACCAATTGAGAGGAATTACACAAGTGAGTATCCTCCTTAGGGATTTACTTTTCTATCATAATACACTTTGGGATCCTAGTACTTAGAAGGATTTTATAATGGCATTATAATATATTCAGTGGTAATATAAAAGAATTATAGAATTGAGAAAGAGCCTGAGAGATCCTCTAGTTCAGCGCTTCTCAACCTCTGGGTCGAGACCCCTTTGGCGGTCGAACAACCCTTTCACAGGGGTTGCCTAAGACCATCCTGCATATCAGATATTTATATTACGATTCATAACAGTAGCAACATTACAGTTATGAAGTAGCAACGAAAGTAATTTTATGTTTGGGTCACAACATGAGGAACTGTATTTAAAGGACCAGAAGGTTGAGAACCACTGCTCTAGTCCTTATTTACAAGTAAAGAAATTAAGTCCTGGTGAGGTTGTAGGATTTTCCAACTACCATAGCCAGTTCATGACAAAATCACATCCCTGTGCCCTAAGGTGTCTCTTAGCCTGAAGAATCCTTGGGGAAAAGGTGTAATTGCTATTTCTTTGGGGTGTTTGGTGTAGCAGCAGGGGTGGGGGGGTTTTCAGGGTTCAGGGCAGTGGTTCTCAACCTGTGGGTCGCGACCCCTTTGGGGGTCAAACGACCCTTTCACAGGGGTCGCCTAAGACCATCAGAAAACACATATATAATTACATATTGTTTTTGTGATTAATCACTATGCTTTAATTATGTTCAATTTGTAACAATAAAAATACATCCTGCATATCAGATATTTACATTACGATTCATAACAGTAGCAAAATTACAGTTATGAAGTAGCAATGAAAATAATTTTATGGTTGTGGGTCACCACAACATGAGGAACTGTATTAAAGGGTCACAGCATTAGGAAGGTTGAGAACAACTGGTTTAGGGGGATGAGTGAGAAGTTTGACTGGGAAAAGAAGTCTGTTATGATGGGCCCCAGAAGCAAACGTTGCTATGTGTTTATAACCCTGAGCTTAGTACTGTCCCTTGTCCTAATGATGAAACTTAAAATTCACTATTTTAATAGCTGTCAGCTCCCAAGATGAAGACATGGGGCATTTTGAGATTCCAGACCCTATGGAAGAGTCAACAACATCGTTAGTGTCTTCCTCCACATCTGCTTACTCTTCCTTCCCGGTGGACGTCGTGGTCTATGTCCGCGTGCAGGTGGGACATTTCACTTATTCTTGTTGTAGAGAAAAATGCTTTTCTTACGTTTATTTCTCTTTCCCAACATTATTTCCCTTTCAAGTTTTCTTCTCTTTTGTATGTATCTTGGCTGACAGGTTACTGAAACCTTGGGGAAGTACATGTACAGTTTTGTGTGTGTTTACTTTTCTGCTGAGGAAGGTTTTCAGAATTAGGTCTCATACTTTTGTGGCAAAAAATAAAAATATATAAATTAAATTCTTTTTTTAGCATTATATGCCTTTTTTTAGTATGGATCTGTGCTACTTGCTATTATGGTCCTTTGGGGGCAGATATAAAGGTAATTGAGGTATAAAGTCACAGTAATGCCTTTGTTAGATTTCTCCTAAGAGCTATGTAATTTTTACTTAATGTTTTATTTTAAAATGCAGTCCTGTCAATAGGCCTTTGGGAGTATATGTTAGAATCTGACTGAGTCCATTTAGTAAGAGGATTTGAAAACTACTTGTACCTAAACTTGAGGGTTTAGTTTACCCTCAATTAAAATCTAATGATCTATCTCAAGAATAAAAGAACTGCTAGTGGTCATCTGTTCAGACCATTTTCTACAGGAACAATTTGGCTAAAAGAGCCCCGTCTGGTGTTTTTCACTACCTGTTTTCAAAATCTGATGAAAACGTGTAATGGGGTGAGGGCTTGAGAGCCTATGAAACTTTCATTAATGTAAGTCTTTTTAAATTTTAGTATAAAGGATATTACTTCCTGTACTTGATTATGAACAAGTATAATGTGAATATAAACATCTTTAATGGTCTGAATTATCTAAATATTTATCACTCAGATATAGCTCCTCAAATACTTAGATTTTTAAAAAATGATATCATTTTGTTAATGTCTCATGTCTGCTTACAAAAGCTAATACATTAAACACAAAATCCTTTCCTGTGTCAGTAAATTTGGTATATGTGGACCGAAATGGAAATGTAATTTTTAGAATCCAATGTAAAATTGTTTCACCTAGAACTTTTTTATTTTTGGCTTTCTGCACTTAAGCCCTCACAGATCAAGTTCAGCTGTTTACCAGTATCAAGAGTAGAATGCATGCTGAAGTTGCCATCCCTGGACCTGGTGTTCTCTTCAAACCGGGGAGAACTGGAGACTTTAGGAACCACGTGTCCTGCCGAGACCTTGTCCTTTGGAGGTAATGCCAATCAGAGTGGAGCAAAGGCCTCTGTAGGCAAGACGGGAACCCCAGGTAAAGAAACCTTTTTTTATCTACCAGTGTAGAGCCAAGTACTTTTTTTAGTATGAATCTGTGCTACTTGCTATTATGGTCCTTTGGGGGCAGATATAAAGGTAATTGAGGTATAAAGTCACAGTAATGCCTTTGTTAGATTTCTCCTAAGAGCTATGTAATTTTTACTTAATGTTTTATTTTAAAATGCAGTCCTGTCAATAGGCCTTTGGGAGTATATGTTAGAATCTGACTGAGTCCATTTAGTAAGAGGATTTGAAAACTACTTGTACCTAAACTTGAGGGTTTAGTTTACCCTCAATTAAAATCTAATGATCTATCTCAAGAATAAAAGAACTGCTAGTGGTCATCTGTTCAGACCATTTTCTACAGGAACAATTTGGCTAAAAGAGCCCCGTCTGGTGTTTTTCACTACCTGTTTTCAAAATCTGATGAAAACGTGTAATGGGGTGAGGGCTTGAGAGCCTATGAAACTTTCATTAATGTAAGTCTTTTTAAATTTTAGTATAAAGGATATTACTTCCTGTACTTGATTATGAACAAGTATAATGTGAATATAAACATCTTTAATGGTCTGAATTATCTAAATATTTATCACTCAGATATAGCTCCTCAAATACTTAGATTTTTAAAAAATGATATCATTTTGTTAATGTCTCATGTCTGCTTACAAAAGCTAATACATTAAACACAAAATCCTTTCCTGTGTCAGTAAATTTGGTATATGTGGACCGAAATGGAAATGTAATTTTTAGAATCCAATGTAAAATTGTTTCACCTAGAACTTTTTTATTTTTGGCTTTCTGCACTTAAGCCCTCACAGATCAAGTTCAGCTGTTTACCAGTATCAAGAGTAGAATGCATGCTGAAGTTGCCATCCCTGGACCTGGTGTTCTCTTCAAACCGGGGAGAACTGGAGACTTTAGGAACCACGTGTCCTGCCGAGACCTTGTCCTTTGGAGGTAATGCCAATCAGAGTGGAGCAAAGGCCTCTGTAGGCAAGACGGGAACCCCAGGTAAAGAAACCTTTTTTTATCTACCAGTGTAGAGCCAAGTACTTTTTTTTTTAGATTTATCTTCATTGTTGAAGATAAATGTCCCCTTTGTTTGTCTGGTTTTTTTTTCCCATTGACCCCTTACACCCCACGCCCGCCCCTCCCAGGCCTTCACGATTCCACTGTCTGTGTCCATGGACTATGCATATATGCATATTAGTTCCCTGGTTAATCACTCCTCACCCACCTCCCACTCCTGCCTTCCCTCTGAAATTCGTCTGTCTGTTCCATGCTTCTGTGTTTCTGGATCTATTTTGTTCCTCAGTTTATTTTGTCCATTAGATTCACATATGAGTGAGATCATGTGATACTTACCTTTCTCTGACTGGCTTATTTCACTTAGCATAGTACTCTCCAGGTCCATCCATGCTGTTACAAATAGTAAGAGTTCTTTCTTTTTTACAGCTGCGTAGTATTCCATTGTGTAAATGTACCACAGCGTTTTTATCCACTCATATGCTGATGGGCACTTGGGCTGTTTCCAAATCTTAGCTATTGTAAATTACAACTCTATGAGCATAGGGGTGCATATATTTTTTTCTGATTGGTGTTTCTGGTTTCTTAGTATGTATTCCTAGATGTGGGATCCCTGGGTCAAATGGAAGTTCCATTTTTAATTTTTTGAGGAAATTCCATACTGTTTTCCACAGTGACTGCACCAGTTTTCATTCCCACCAACAGTGTACTATGGTTCCCTTTTCTCCACATCCTTGACAACACTTGTTGCTTGTTGATGGTAGCCATTCTGACAGGTGTGAGGTGATACCTCAATGGGTTTTAATTTGCATCTCTCTGATGATCAGTGACTTTGAGCATTTTTTCATGTATTTTGACCTTCTGTATGTCCACTTTGGAGAAGTGTCTATTTAGGTCCTTTGCTCATTTTTAAATTGGATTGTTTGTCTTTCTTTTGTTAAGTTGTATGAGTTCCTTATATATTTTGGAAATTAACCCCTTATGGGATGTATCATTGGGAAATATGTTCTCCCATGTAGTGGGCTCTCTTTTCATTATGTTGATGGTTTCTTTTGCTGTGCAGAAGCCTTTTATTTTGATGTAGTCTCATTTGTTTATTTCCTCCTTAATTTCCTTTGCCCTAGGACAGTGGTCGGCAAACTGTGGCTTGCGAGCCACATGCGGCTCTTTGGCCCCTTGAGTGTGGCCACAAAGTTTCAATCGTACTGTACGTGCGCGCCCGCACGTGGTATTTTGTGGAAGAGCCACACTCAAGGGACCGCAGTTTGCCGACTACTGCCCTAGGAGATGTACCCATAAACATATTGCTACGAGAGATGTCTGAGATTTTGCGGTGTATGGTTTGTTTCTTCTAAGATTTTTATGGTTTCAGGCTTTCATTTAAGTGTATGGTGCACGTTGGTGGTCTAGTTGCATTTTTTTGCATATACCTGTCCCATTTTCCCAACACCATTTATTGAAGAGACTGTCTTGACTCCATTATATGCTCTTGCCTCCTTTGTCAAATATTAATTGAGTGTAATGGCTTGGGTCGATTTTTGGGTTCTCTCTTCTGTTCCATTGATCTATATGCCTATTCTTGTACCAGTAGCAGACTATTTTGAGTACAGTGGCTTTGTAGTATAACTTGATATCTGGTATTGTGATACCTCCAATTTTGTTCTTTGTTCTCAAGATTGCTATGGCTATTCAGGGTCTTTTCCATATAAATTTTTGGAGTGTTAGTTCTAGATCTGTGAAATATGCTATTGGTATTTTAATAGGGATTGCACTGAATTTATAGATTGCTTTGGGTAGTATGGACATTTTAATGATGTTGATTCTATCAGTCCAAGAATATAGAAGAAGGTATATTCTTCTACTTGTTTGTATCTTCATGTATCTCTTTTTTTTTTTAGTGTCTGTAGGTTTCAGAGTACATGTCTTTTACCTCCTTGATCTTTTGTATTATTTTTTAAGTCTCTATGTCATTTATTTCTGCTCTAATCTTTATTATTTCCTTTCTTCTAATTACTCTGGGCTTTTCTTATTGTTCTCTTTCTAATTCTTTAAGTTGTAGAGTTAGGTAATTTATTAAAAGGTTTTCTTATTTTTTGAGGTAGGCCTGTAATGCTAAATTTAAGTATCTTAAATTTTTTTTGTTGCAATGGTAAATGGGATTGTTTTCTTCATTTCTCTTTCTGAGAGTTAATTATTGGTGTATAAAAATGCCATCGATTTCTGAGTGTTAATTTTGTATCCTTCTATGTTGCTGAATTCATTTATTAAATCTAGTAGTTTTTTTATGGAGTCTTTAGGGTTTTCTGTGAATAATGACAGTTTATTTCCTCCTTTCCAATTTGGATGCCTTTTATTTCTTCTTGTCTGATTGCCATGGCTAGGACTTCCAGTACTATATTGAATAAGAGTGGTGAAAGTGGACATCCCTGTCTTGTTCCTGTTCTTAGAGGAAATGGTTTTAGTTTTTGCCCATTGAGTATGATTTTGGTTGTAGGGTAGGTTTGTCATATATGTCCTTTATTATGTTGAGGTATGATACCTTTATTCCCACTTTGCTGAGAGTTTTTATCAAAAAAGGGTGTTGGATTTTGTTAAATGCTCTTTCTGCATCAATTGATATGATCATGATTTTTGTCTTCCAAACTGTTTATGTAATGTATCACATTTATTGATTTGCAAATATTGTACCAGCTTTGCATCCCTGGAATAAACCCCACTTGGTCATTGTGTATGATCTTTTTAATGTACTGCTGCATCTGATTTACTAATGTTTTGTTGAGGATTTTAGCATCTATGTTCATCAGGGAGTCTATCTGGTTTTGGAATTAGGGTAATGCTGTCCTCATAAAAAGAGTTTAGAAGTATTTGAATTTTTTAAAAATAGTTTGAGGAGAATTGGTGTTAGTTCTTCTTTGAATGTTTGGTAAAATTCCCCTGTGAAGCCATCTGGACCAGGGCTTTTGTTTGCTGGGAATTTTTTTTATTACTGCTTCAATTTCATCAGTAGTTTTCAGCCTATTCAGGTTTTCTGATTCTTCCTCATTGAGTTTTGGAAGATTGTATTTTTCTAGGAATATGTCCATTTTGTCCAGGTTGTCCTGTTTGTTGGAATATAGTCGTTCAGAGTATTTTTTTTTTTTTTACAATCCTTTGTATTTCTGTGGGGTCAGTTGCTACTGCACCTCTTTAATTTCTGATTTTATTTGGGTCCTCTCTTTGTTTCTTGAGTCTGGTTAGAAGTTCATCAATCTTGTTTATCTTTTCAAAGAACCAACCCTTGGTTTTATTGATCTTTTGTATTATTTTTTAAGTCTCTATGTCATTTATTTCTGCTTTAATCTTTATTATTTCCTTTCTTCTAATTACTCTGGGCTTTTCTTATTGTTCTCTTTCTAATTCTTTAAGTTGTAGAGTTAGGTAATTTATTAAAAGGTTTTCTTATTTTTTGAGGTAGGCCTGTAATGCTAAGAACTTCTCTCTCAGGACTGCTTTCACTGTGTCCCATAGATTTTGGGTTGTTGTGTGTTCATTTTCATTTGTTTCCGGGATATTTTCTACTTCTTCCTTGATCTCTTTGGTAACACATTCATCTATATATATAAAAGCCTAAGCAACCAAATGACTGAATGACCAGTTGACCGGTTGCTATGATGCTCACTGACCACCAGGGGACAGATGCTCAATGCAGGAGTTGACCCCTGGGGTCAGTGCGCTCGCACAGTGGGAGCACCATTCAGCTGACTGACGGGTGCTAGATGCCAGGCTCACGGCTGGCAAGTGCAGTTGTGATGGTGCAAGCCTCTCCCACCTCCGCGGCAGCACTTCTGAGTGGCAGCGGCAGCAGGTGCAGCGGGGCTGGGATGAGCAGGAGTGGTGTGGCGCCTGGCCTGGGCTCGATCTCCTCCCTGGCTGCCTGCTGCTTCGGGAACTACTATATCCCTCAGGTGATGTCAGACTGCCGGTATCAGTCCGATCCCTGCAGGCTGTGGGGATCTAGTTGAAACCGGCAGTCCAACATCCCTCGAGGGGTCCCGATTGCAAGAGGGTGCAGGGCAGGCTCTAATTGTTTAATAACATGCTATTTAGGAGCCAAATACTATTTAATGTCCTATTCAGATGTCCTCCCATTATTTATGTTTAAAGCATAGTGGGAATCAGTCTGTCCACACATGGTAAGTTTTGCCACTGACACTTGGTTCTCTAAGAGAGAGAGAGATCTTTACTTTTTGCATTTTTTTTTTTTGCATATGTGTAGTGGTTCTTTTTTTTTCAATTACAATTTACATTCAATATTATTTTGTATTTCAGGTGTTCAGCATAGTGATCATTCAGTTATATATGTTACAAAGTGTTCACCCGCTATTTCAAGTACATACCTGGCACCATACTGAGCTATTACAATGTTATCGACTGTTTTTCCTGTGCTATACTTTACATCCCTGTGACAATCTGTAACTACCAATTTGTACTTCTGAATCCCTTCACCTTTTTCACCCAGCCCCAACCACCCTCTCTTCTGACAGTTGTCAGTCTGATCTCTATATCTATGTGTCTGTTTCTGGTTTATTTTTTGCTTCATCCTGTTCTTTAGATTCCACATGTAAGTGAGATCATGTGGTATTTGTCTTTCTGTGAGTGACTTATTTCACTGTACATAATACCCTCTAAGTCCATCCATGCTCGTTGGAAAAGGTGTAACTTTCTGCATTTGCTCTGTTTGCACTCTTTCCTACTGGAATGATTGGGCTTGTGAACAGTGTGTCCAGTTCCCCCCTTTGCTTAAACCCCTGCTATTTTGTGCCTCTTCCTTGGCCTGTTTCAGTGGCACAAAGGAGAGCAGAAACAGGAGGCTGTGGAGTTGGCCAGTCATACTATAAAGGAATGTTTCAGAGTATTTAACCTGGTTTACCAAGTAAATTAATTGCAAAGTATATCTAAGACCTCATTTTGTTTTCAAGGATTACATTTATGAGTGCATGCTTGAGTATTTCTTTTTTATTTTCAAGTCATGTTTGGTGGCTCTTGAGACTATTAGTGGCAGGATTTTTAAATTTTCTGTGGCTGATAAAGATTTTGGATGTCTGTGTTGATGGCAGGTTCATCAGGACTGGGCAGCCCTCTTGGCAGAAGTCGGCACAGCAGCAGTCAGTCAGATCTGACCACTTCTAGCAGTAGTTCCTCCGGGCTGAGCTTCACTGCCTGCATGTCTGACTTCTCCCTCTACGTGTTTCACCCTTACGGAGCTGGAAAACAGAAGAGTACTGTTTCTGGCCTCACGTCTGGGTCAGGAGGCTTAGGTACACTTAGCATGTTTGCATCTTTCTCAACTTTAGAGCACTTTTCAAACTTTGATCTTTTCATAAATCATGATACCTTTAATAATGGATATAAAGCAAGATCAGAAACTTACTAATTTTTCCTTTTGATAATATATATCCTGTCTCTACAAATAAGTAGAAATATGCAGTAAGTAATTTGGGTAAATGATTTATACAAGAACTGTAAAAATCAGAATATTTTATAAGTGATATACACAGCACAATAATATCTTTGGATATAGATTTATTTGGATAAGAAATTCTATTCTACAAATAGTAAATTTTTTAAGGTGTTCATATTGTGTTTGTTAATTTAAAATGAGACTGTTAGTTTTATTATTACTATTAGAGAACTTAAATTTCACTGGCATTTTACCAATAAAAATGCTCATTAGATCATTCTGCTTAAATTTTTACCTCACTTTAAATGATTTTAATTGATGTGTTTAATTCCAGTGTTTTGGATAATTTCATGGAATTAGATAGTTGTGTGTATATGTATATGTACACATGTATCTTGTGTATATGTACTCATGTAGGTGTGTGTGGGTTTTTTTAAAGGGAATGTGGACGAAGACCCCACTTCAGTCACTGGTCGAAAAGACTCACTGAGTATAAACCTTGAGTTTGTAAAAGTGAGTTTGTCTCGGATAAGGCGTTCAGGAGGTGCTTCGTTTTTTGAAAATCAGTCTGTAAATAAGTCTGCAAGCAAAATGGACACCACACTAATAAATATATCTGGTATTCAATTTTATAGTTTTTAAATGTAAATGTTTGTTTTCCAGAATTAAATAAGGGGCTCCTTTTTAAGTGTTTAAATATTACATTTATTTAATAATATGAAGCTTTTAATGGTAAAGGAGAGGAATGACAGTCCAGCCTAGTGTACACTTTCAGTGCAAGTATTCAGTGTTAGAAATGTTATCTACACTAATAAAAGAGAAAGATGCAAATTGACCATACCTTCACGACGCCCACCAGCCAATCAGGAGTGAGTATGCAAATTAACCCAACAAAGATGGGTTAATTTGCATACACAGGCGTGGAGCAGCCGGGGGTGGAGCAGGATGCTTGCGTTGTGGCCATGGCAATGAGGCAGGCATTCCGCACCACCCTAGCTTCTCCAGGCTTCTGGGCAGCATGGGAAGGCAGAAGGGCAGCTCTGGCCAAGTGAAGGCAGTGCCGCAGCCAGGGGAAGAAAGACCCATTCTTGCATGAATCTTCGTGCATTGGGCCTCTAGTTTCTAGATAAATATACAGAAATATCACCCAAGGGCTAAAATGTGCCTCATTGAGTCACCTAAAACTGCTCTTCTCTTCACTTCTCTACCATAAATTGGTAAAATTTCTAGTGTTTCATTTGATTTTCTAATTGTAAATTCTTAAAACACTAAAGAGGAATGAGTTAAAAATGTTCCACATGCATTTAGTTTTAAATATTCAAAAGTGATTTAGTCCTGGCCAGTATGTGTCAGTTGGTTGAGCATTGTCCCACGCACCAAGAGATATCTGGTTTGATTTCCAGTTGGGGCACATGCCCTGGTTGCTGGCTTGATCCTCAGTAGGGGTGTGCAGGAGGCAGCTGATCGATTTTTCTCTCTCCTTGATGGTTTTCTCTCCCTCTCCCTTCCTCTCTCTTTAAAAAAATCAATAGAAACTTTTTTTAAAAAGTGATTTGCCCATAGTTACAAAGCTAGTTATGAAGCTAGCAGTGCACATGCACATGACTCATATGCTGGTAGCATCGATTCTTTGGGCAGTGAAGCCATTAGAAGTTTTTAAGAAATGGGATGATAACATTGTCCCCAAAGATGACAGACTATACTGTACATTTAAAAATCTATTGAGTTTGGCTCAGTGATTAGAGAGTTAGCCCCCCAGACTGAAGGGTTGCAGGTTCAATTCTGGTCGAGGGCACATACCTTGGTTGAAGACTTGATCCTCGGCCCAGGTCGGGATGTGTGCAGGAGGCAGCCAATCGATGTGTCTCTATCACATTGATGTTTCTCTCTCTTTGTCTTTCCCCCTCACTTCCACTCTCTCTAAAAATCTTTGGAAAAATTGAGAGGATAAATCTCATCTTAGGTGTTCTGACCATAAAAAAAAAAGACAAAATTTTATATGGATTATAAAATAAACGTGTGTGTGTGTGTGTGTATGTGTGTGTGTGTAGTGGGTATTTTAGAAATAATTCATGGCAGCATGAAAAATGGGAGGGAAGATGAGTGGGGAGGCTGTTTAATTAGACACAGCAGCAGGGGCTGAAGGCTGGATTGTGACAATAATGAAGAAGAGGGAATGGTGTCTAGAGAAAGAGGAGAGAATCTACAAACTTGAGGACAGAGTGTGTGCAGAGCAGCAGAGACAGGATGCCTCACACTTTCAGCCTGTGTGTCAGAAGGGTCAGAGTGGTAGACAATAAAGGAGGAAGTACCTCCAGGGCATTTAATGGCAGCTGCTGATAGGCTGTGAGCTCAGAGGGAAACTGAAGGCACGTCTGGGAGACCCAGGTGTGAAGACCCTCCTGAGGCCCTAGAGGAGGAATAAGGAGGGCAGAGCAGGAGCTGCGTGACCAGCACAGGGCCTTCACACTGACCAGCCCTGCTCTGGCAGTGATCACCAACCTTTCAGACCTTGTGGACCACCAGTTGGTGACCATTGCTCCAAAGGTTTCCTTAAACCAGTGGTTGCCAACCTTTTGGACCTCATGTACCACCAGTGGTCCGCAGACCACTGGTTGGTGACCGCTGGTCTAGAGCAGTGGTTGGCAAACCGCGGCTTGCGAGACACATGCGGCTCTTTGGCCCCTTCAGTGTGGCTCTTCCACAAAATACCGACTTCTGCACAGGGGCCACGAAGTTTCAATCGCACTGTACATGCGCGCCCGCACATGGTATTTTGTGGAAGAGCCACGCTGAAGGGGCCAAAGAGCCGCATGTGGATCGCAAGCCACGGTTTACTGACCACGGGTCTAGAGGAAAGCAGCAATTCCCCCACACCACCACTTGGTTTGAAGTCACTTTTGAGGAAGTGTGTATCCCAGTTTATCCCATGATTCATTCGCCACATTTTAGAAAAGCCCTGTGTTCAAGTTGAAAGCTGTCTGTAAGACTGACCTTTAGAACCTCTCTGAGAATTTATTGATAAAGTGTAATTCCAGTTTGCCTTTACCTCAACAAAGGAATGGAACTAAAGTGTTAGAATCTGCTACTTTTCTCATTTATGGAAGGAACATATTATCCCTTACTAATCATGCTGTGCAACATATTTAGATATTTCATGAATTGTAGCTATTATAATTTAGTTGTGTAATACCATATTATATTATACCATGTAGAAAATATTAAAGGTTTTGAAAATCTGTACTAACACATTTTTTAAATTTCTGTATCAGCTGTTTGTGACATAGGTTCTGCTTCCTTTAAATATGATATGCGCCGGCTCAGTGAAATTCTGGCATTTCCAAGAGCCTGGTACAGGAGAAGTATTGCAAGACGTCTCTTCCTTGGAGACCAAACTATAAATTTGCCAAGTAAGCTCATTATGTAATTAGAGTTACACTTAGTTTGCTTTTAATTTTGGTTGCAATAGTAATAAGATCCATGATTGACAACACAAACTTTGTCTTACTTGGTAAGTTGTGGCATGCAGTTCATTCCCTCATTCAAGCATCTGCTGATCCCCTCCAGTGTGCTAAGCATGGGAATGCATGAGCAGGGTCACAGAGAACTTGCCCTCTCAGAAACTACATTCTGCTGACATTAACAATTATTTTATAATCTTAATAAAATCTGGAAATGCAGAAATACATGTAGCCATTAAAATCATGATTAGATAAGCATGGAAAATAGAAAGTGTTGGGGACATGCTACCATATTGCCTGTGTTTTTCTCCTGGACTTAGATATTGTGTAAGTGAAAGGTAGAGTTAGCAAGATACAGTACAAAATATACAAAACCTGGTCTTGGTCTATTTCCTCATCTGTAAAGTGGGAGCATAATACCTCTTCAGCCATTCTCATAGTGTTTCTGTGAGAAGTAAACTAACAAGCTGGAATGTGCTCTGCACACTTGTCAAATAGAGAACTAAAAGTATGTCATGTGCTTAGAAGTGGTAGAGTGTTAAAATTTATTATTTTATAGCATGCCAATTTTACCCTGTTAATTGTTTTTGTTTCCACTTTTCTGTTAGCGTCTGGCCCAGGGACACCTGATTCCATCGAAGGGGTGAGCCAACATCTTTCCCCGGAATCATCAAGAAAAGCTTACTGCAGGACCTGGGAGCAGCCTAGTCAGTCAGCCTCCTTCACCCACATGCCTCAGTCGCCCAATGTGTTCACTGAGCACATGACAAACAGCACCATGTCACCAGGGACAGTGGCACAGAGCCTGAAGTCCCCAGCTTCCATAAGATCCAGGAGTGTATCGGATTCTTCAGTTCCCCGAAGAGGTAACACTGCCCTCTTTGTTATCAGTGGCCCTCCAATGACTCCAGGATAAAAATCTCAATTAGTTACTCCCAGATTTCTGTCTCACCTGCAGGGAAATAGACTCTTGCAGGTTTTTATGGAAGATGGAGGGGAGGGGATCCAAACCAAACAACACACACTTCAAAGTATCTGTCTGCAGAAGAGATAGCTGGGTGGCTCAGAGCTTTAAAAGGGGGTAGGGAAGAAGGAGAGAGCACATTGTTAGTGAGCTCCAGATGGTACAGTTATTTTTTTAAATTGTTTTCAATTACAGTTCATACTCATTATTTTGTATTGGTTTCAGGTGTACAACATAGTGGTTAGACAATCACATTACTTTACAAAGTGTTCATGACTATATTCCTTATGCTGTACTTTATAGCCCCATGACTATTCATAACTATCAATCTGTACTTCTCAATGGTACAGTTATATTTAGAAGTAAACCAAGCCTACAATATTGTAAAAGATGTTTGATATTGAAAAAGTTAATCTTTGTATTCATTCATTCTTTTATTCACCCATGTTTTTTCAACTCTTATGTGCTCAGCATTCTACTTGAGTCTGAACATATAAAAATGAGTGATTTAGTTCATGTCACAAGGTAAGATTAGGGTATAATGAGCAAATGCAGGACTCAAGACATACGTGAGTCTGTAAGACACAGAAGACAGGCATGCAGCAGCCTCTGCATCTCAGAATGGTCCCTGCCTTTAGGTCCTCTGTTAGCCAGTAGCAACTTGGGATTTCCTTCTCTGCTGAGAACCCAGGGTGATGAAAGATCTGTGCTGCTGTATCCTGTGCATACTGGAATTTCTTCCTGTAACAAGGAACTCATAGAGAACTCTCTAAGCTTCCAGAAAGTGCGACTGCCAGCACCTGCTAAAGTCAGTAAATGGTAACTCTTTTAGAGGCAATGTGATAGCTATTTAACATTTGGCTATAACACAAGAATATCATTTCAGTTTTTGGATTATAGTGATAAGAGTAGTTTTTGCTTTGTAATCACTGAGCATCTGTGAACAAATGTGCATATGATTTTTTTTATTTTTAGACTCACTTTCAAAAACATCAACTCCTTTTAACAAATCCAACAAAGCAGCAAGTCAACAAGGGACTCCATGGGAAACACTTGTCGTGTTTGCTATCAACTTGAAGCAATTAAACGTCCAAATGAATATGAGTAATGTAATGGGAAATACAACGTAAGCTGGTCAGATACAAAGAAAATATATTTAATCATTACTTGTAATTTTTCTTATAGTGTATTAAAGTAATTCAAAACCTTTTTCTAATGATGAAATGTTTGAGACAGTGAAAACAGTAGATAAAAGATACAAAATTGCTTTATACTGAAATGGCTTAATCTAATCCTAAAGATACTATACTATAAAACAATATGAAATATATGTTCTAAAAAGAGAAAAAATTATAAGTAAAACAGCATAATTTTCTAGCTAAGCAAAAAGCCTTATAAATGTTAACATTTAAACATTTACTGGTTTTTATAATAAACTTAAAAAAAACTTTTTTGAAATCATCTAACTCTTGTTTTAGTTTATGACACTGGAAGCCATATGTCTATTTAATAACCCTTTTCTTATTTTAGTTGGACAACGAGTGGTTTGAAGAGCCAGGGCCGCCTGTCAGTAGGAAGCAACCGTGACCGAGAGATCAGCATGTCCGTGGGGCTGGGAAGATCCCAGTTAGACTCTAAGGGAGGGGTTGTTGGAGGGACCATCGATGTCAATGCACTGGAGATGGTTGGTATGTTGAATTTTACAACTGAAAAATATATTGAAAAAAAGTTTTAAAAACTTTTGATGAGTTTTTCCCATTCAGCATTTCTCTGAAAAATAATTATTTCAGCTCATATTTCTGAACATCCGAATCAGCAGCCCAGTCACAAAATTCAGATCACGATGGGCTCCACTGAGGCCCGCGTGGACTACATGGGCTCCAGCATCCTCATGGGCATCTTCAGCAATGCTGACCTCAAGCTGCAGGACGAGTGGAAGGTGAATCTGTGCAGTGCCTTGGATTCAAGCATAAGTGATAAAAGGTATTCAGGAAATAGGACCTTTCAAACTTTGCATGACTGCTCTGAACATATTTTCTGTCATTCAGTGAGAAAGCACAAGCTTTTATATTATGCAATTAATGTGAATGAAAAAGCTTGGTGGGGAAGGGACTTTTTCTTGTACTTTTAAACCATGTACTTTTAAACCATCTTATATAAGCTATGTGATAAAGACTCTGTTTTATATTCTAGTGAAATTTTTGTCCATGGAGATTTGAAGTGGGATATTTTCCAAGTAATGATATCAAGATCAACCACACCAGACCTGATAAAAATAGGAATGAAGCTCCAGGAATTTTTCACGCAACAGTTTGATACCAGCAAACGAGCTCTGTCTACCTGGGGACCAGTTCCTTATCTTCCACCTAAGACAGTGACGAATATCCTAGAGAAAAGTTCACAAGAGCAGTGTAAGAAATAGAACTAAGGCTTTGTATGTGCTGATCTTTCAGTGAATGTGTTGCAATTTTCATTTAAAGTCACATAGTATCTGTATGCCATGCTTACAGTGATCCATATGCTCTTCTCCAGTTCATTCAGCAACGTACCTGATTCCCACCCACATGGGCATTGAAGCCATCATTTGAGAAGTAACCATTTCTTATCTCCTCCCCTTGCCACAGCTCATCTAAATCATCCATATACCACATTCCTGAATACAAATTATGACAATACCATGTTCTGCTTAAAAGCACAAGCTGTGGAATCAGAATGTCTGAGTTTGAATTTATTAGCTGTGTTCTCCTAGGCCAGGGGTGGGCAAACTTTTTGACTCGAGGGCCACAATGGGTTCTTAAACTGGACCGGAGGGCCGGAACAAAAGCATGGATGGAGTGTTTGTGTGAACTAATATAAATTCAAAGTAAACATCATTAAAAAAAAGGGTACGGTTTTTTTTTTTTTTTTTTAGTTTTATTCATTTCAAACGGGCCGGATCCGGCCCGCGGGCCGTAGTTTGCCCACGGCTGTCCTAGGCAGATTTTTATTTTCACTCAGTAGGTCAATCAGCAAATATTTATTAAACATGCTCATGTGCTAAAGCACATGGCATAGATCTAGTGGGCAAAGTTCCTAGCCTCATGAAGTTTACATTCTAGTGGGAGAGACATCCCATATTTAAGTTACTAACTAAAATGCAAGATAGTTTTAGGTAGAGAGAGGCGCTGAGAAGAGGAATGAAGCAGTGGAAGGAAACAGAGAATGAGTGTGTGAGGATGGCTATTTTAGAAGGGGGCTCCCGGAAGCCTTTTCTCAAGTGAAAGATCTAGGCTGAGGGCTAGGAAAGAGCGTTCCAAGCACAGGGGCCTATGGAGAGTGCAGAGCTCCCACAGCAGGAGGGTACTTGCTTTGAGGGTCACGAAGGTGGTCACTGTGTAGAACAGTGAGCAAGCAGTAAAACACTGGACCTTAGCTCAGATAGCTAGGCCACAGATAAGAGTTTTAATATGATGGGTAGCTATTGGAGAGTCTCGAACAGATTGAATATTATTTTACTTTATCTTAAAATATTCCTTTGTAAAGCATCACTCTGGCTGCTGTGTGGAGAACAGACTGTAGGCAGTTAAGGATGGAAGTTCAGAGAGCAAGTGTAGTAATTACTATCATTGCACACATACTGACATTACCATAGTAAGGTGGCGCTGTGGGAGTCCAGGCTACTGGTGATGATGGCTTTAACTAGGTGATAGAAGTAAAGTGGCAAAAAGTTGTTAGAGTTAGGATAATTTTTAATAACTTTTTATTATCACAGAAGCAATATTTGTACATTGAAAAAAAATAGAAAATACAAGCAAAAAATAAAAGCATCCTATTCCATCAAAAAATCATTCCTGTGAACACCTGAGAGCATGCACCTTCAGATATTTTTCTATGCACCTATATATGTTCTTTTTACCAAAATATTGTTCATATTGTTTTATAACCTTTTCCATTCAACAAGCTCCCACTTTCTATTTTGCTAATTTAGCTCCTCTAGCCTGTGACCACATTCCACAACTGACCTAAAATTATCCTAAAATTTGTCCAAACCAGTATATCACATTCAAGATCACAGGTCAGATCTGGTTATGTTCCTTTATTCTCTTTTAATTCAGCATAGTCCTTTTTTAATGACCTGACTAGTTTGAGAGGCTTGGCCAGTTATCCTACACAATGTCCTGCCTTCTAGTTTTCAGTTGCTTCCTTGTGGTTCCATTTATCTCTTTCCTATAGTCCTTTTATTTCCTGTAAACTAGAATTGGTGTCAGGCATATACAAATAGAGGGGGGTTTTCCTAAAATGCCTTTCCTGGATTCTTGAAAAAGCCCTTGTCATAGAAAACAAACAAATAGACTCATAGAATTGTTTTAGATTAAAGGAAACTAAAGAGACATGCCAATTACCGTAAATACGATGCATGACCCCTGGTTGGATCTGGACTTGGAGCTGTGGAAAACAGCCAAAAAGGACATCACTAGAATAAACGGGAAATATTAAGGTGTGTTACTCAAACACCTGAAATACCTGGAGGTCTTATTCAGATGCAGATTCTGATACATAAGTGTGGGGTGGACATAAGAGCCTGAATTTTGAACAAGCTCTGGGTGATTATGATGGTCCTCAGACCTCACTTTTGAGTAGTAAGGGTACAAAAGAGTAAAAAAAGAAAATGTACTAAAAATCAGGAGATCTGTTTGATTTCTAGGTCTTCTAGTTGCTGGTTTAGTTAACCCGTCCTCTGCTTCACTTGAACAGGGTCCAGATGAAATACCTAGTTTACAGTTACTGTGAGAATTGTATAAAATGTCATGCAAGCATTTGTAAATTATTACAGCAGTATTAGTTGTAATTATTAACAAGTTACTACTTTCCTTAGTTGCATCCATCCTTATGCAGCATCTTTCCCAAGACTATATGCTTATTAGCTTCTGCTTAATGTTAACCAGGGTTGGGTTGTTGTTTTCATCCCTTACCTGAGTCACTGCAGCTGCAGAAAGGAGCCCTGCTGCCCCCCAGCTCCCTGCCATTGCCATTGCAGATGTGCCTGCGGCAGGCACCCAGGACAAGCCTGTTTGGTTTTCTTGCAGTGCTGGACGCCGCCCACCATCGACACTGGCCTGGAGTACTGAAGGTGGTGTCGGGATGCCACATATCCTTATTCCAGATCCCATTACCAGAAGATGGAATGCAGTTTGGAGGATCGATGAGCTTACATGGAAACCACATGACACTAGCTTGTTTCCATGGTCCAAATTTCCGTTCAAAATCCTGGGCCCTTTTTCACCTAGAAGAACCAAATATTGCTTTTTGGACTGAAGCTCAGAAGATCTGGGAGGATGGTAAACTGACACATTTCAAACTTTTACTCTTTCCATCTTCTGATGTGATAATACATAGCAGAGTAACTTTTCTTTCTCATATCTTTTATCTGTTTTCTCTTATAACATTTCTGAAGTCCATTCCATTTGTTATTATGTACCTGACATGTCAAGGAGTTCACTGCCAATGAGTCAGTTTCTATAAAGTCTGGGATGTAAAAGACTTATTTCTGAACTTGCTATCTACTCTTTTTCTTGCTTAAGCAATTAAAGATTCTGTTACTGGCTGTAATCATAATAGTAGTTATTGTAAAAATTTCTTACATAAACATGAAAAGAAGAGATACAGTGGCAGTATAGGGAAATGATCTGCCTTCAAGACTACGATAGGCAAGGCTCTGCTTTTACCTCTGTTTACAGTGGTAGACCCAGTTCCTTTCAGCTTTAGTTTTTTACTCAGTGGTTTCTTAATGATGACCCCCCCCCCCAAAAAAAAAAAAAAGAATGGTTGCTTTTTTCTTATTTTATTGTTTAAAGTATTAAATATGTCTCCTTTTTCCCTGTTTGACAACCCCCCCTCCCCGGTCCACTCCCATCCCCAGGACAAGCCCCCACTGCCCCAGTGTCCGTGTCCATTGGTTATGCTAATATGCATGCATACAAGTCCTTTGATTGATCTCTAACCCCCTCTCACCTGCCCCTTATCTCTGGATCTATTTTTGTTAATCAGTTTATGTCCCACATATGAGTGGGTTGATGCTTTTCATGTTACTGGGGATAAATCCAGTAATAGCTAAAAGAAAAAATATTTGTGATTTTATTTCTCACTTATTTACTCATTTTCTATCTGTTGCTCTAAGCACAACTCTTTCCTTGCATCTAAATATAATTTGTTACATTAAGAAACTTTTTTTCCTCTAGGCTCTAGTGATCATTCTACATATGTTGTACAAACATTGGATTTTCATCTGGGCCATAATACCATGGTTACCAAACCATGTGGCGCTTTGGAAAGTCCTATGGCAACAATAACCAAGATAACAAGGCGTCGCCATGAAAACCCACCCCATGGAGTAGCGAGTGTGAAAGAATGGTTCCATTATGTTACAGCCACAAGAAATGAAGGTTAAAAGTTTGATTTTTTTGGAGATATTTATTTTGTTTTTTCCTAATTTGGATTCTGTTGACTGTATAGAATTTAAGTGGGGGAAACTTTTCATTTCTTCAATTAAACAATTTTCATTTTACTCCTGCTGCTGTAACAATATTAATTCATGGTTTCATCACCCTGGTGATGCAATATAGACTTAAATTATTTTAGATGTAACTGAAAACAATCAAAGTAAAATTGGCTTAAATAACTGAAATTAAGTTTACTTTAAGATAATTGGAAACCTATTTTTATACTAATGTTAAACATTAGAGATTTGGAGAAGTTATTACACAACTAAGTACTAGGATGCCACAAACTTAAGGTTCTCGATGGATGAAATAAAATGAAACTAAATAATATCATTTCTATGAAGTCATAAGTTTAAAGAGTGGTTTTGATGAGTTTTTCATTTGATTTGATTCACCAATCTTAATAATGTGGTCATGGAAAGTTTTATTTTGTGGTGGTTTTATGTTCAAGTTTATAATATTGCTTTTACTGATTTCATTTGTATTAGAAAGCGGACTAGATCGAGAAATGATAAGACTTTAATGTTTTATTTAAAAATGACTTTGCAAAATGGAAAGGATGATGACATGGGCCCGTGGAAAATAGTTACTATGGAATAGGCAACCCCAGGGATTAAAGACTGTTCTGGGAACAAAGGGGTATAAGGAAGCAAATTAGAAGAGTGTGCATGTATTAACTGTTCTACCTTCTAAGTACACATTTTGGGGAAGGATTCCTTTTTGGCTAGGATACTATGGAGGGGCTATCAGCATACTGAACTGCTACCTATGTACCTAGAAAAGTGCTAATTTTTTAAGACAACCATAATGTAATCATAGCACATACATTGGGGAATATCAGGACTTCTACCTGATTTCAAGATCAGGATCATATTTAATCACAAATTCTGTAAGAGTGAAGTATTCAGTGTATGGAGATTAGTGAAACTCTTAAATTCAGACATGAATTTAATCCTATATAATAAAAGCATAGTATGCAAATTGTCCCCTTGACCGGGAGTTCGTCTGGGAGTTCGACCATGGGGCGGGGCCGGCTGGGGGAAGGGAGGGAGGCTCTGGCTGGCAGCAGCAGCCGCTAGGGACCCTACCAGTGCACAAATTTCATGTACTGGGCCTCTAGTTGAGAATAATATTCATTTTAAAGTTCAAGAAACAAAAAAGCAAAATGGATTGGATTTTTGGATTTATTCAAAACTATGTTATAAAGCTTCAGTCTTGAGAACAGTGATCTATATCACTATATATGTGTGTATATAAGTATAAATATAAATCACTACATATAAATTAACATAGCTCTATATTAATTTATATAAATGTGTCTATATCCCTGTCTACATATATAGAGATAATTATTCTCAAGACCACAACTTTATATGGTTCTATTTTTTCAAATGTGAGTTGATTTTGCAACTTTTGAAATGATAAAAGTTCCTGTATCATAGTGCCATGAAAGCTATAGGCTTATCTATGTCTATTGGTTTAATTTGACTGTTACTGTCTTTATTATTATGCATGTAGAGCTAAACCTACTTCGTAACGTTGATGCTAATAACACCGAGAATAGCACTACTGTGAAGAATTCCAGTTTGTTGAGTGGATTCAGAGGAGGTTCTAGTTACAATCATGAAACAGAGACTATCTTTGCATTACCAAGGATGCAGCTTGACTTTAAATCTATTCATGTTCAAGAACCACAGGAACCTTCATTACAGGGTATGTGGAAGAACAATCTTTAGTTTCTGAAGTTACTAAGAAAATTCTAAAGGAACTTAGAACTACTGTTTTTTGTTATTTGTGTGTAATATTGGTATAATCTGATTATATAATTATCTATATATAAAAGGCTAATATGCTAAGTGTACATCTGACCGGCTGTGATGCGCACTGACCAGCAGGGGGCAGACGCTCAAGCAGGAGCTGCTGAGCTGCAGTGACTTGGCAGTGGCACTTCTCGGGGTGATACACCCTGGAACCAGATAGGAGGGAGCCCAATTCCTCGCAGGGCCACGCGATTCCTCCTTTGGCCGTGGGTTACATTGTTGCTGGGGTACTGTCGGCCCCAAATCTGGTTTACTGCACACTTGTGTTTGCATTCCGCACCCTGTACAACAGCAACTTTGCAGAGTGCCCTCTTGCACTCTGGGACCCCTCGGGGGATGTTGGAGAGCCAGTTTCAGCCCAATCCTGCAGGCCAGGCTGAGGGACCCCATCTGTCGGAGGGACCCCACTCACTCCACAGATGCCCTTCAAGCCACAGCGCCACCCCAGGTGTGGCCGGCCGGAGAGGGACCACGGGAGGTTGGCTCCAGGGCACGTCCAGCCCGTCTTGCCCAGTCCTGCCCTGCCGGCCACCTTCTAATTAATTTCAGTGTGCACAAATCTATACACCAGGTCACTAGTGTTATATAAAATAACATAAATTGATTTCCTGGGTCAAAATGATTGATGTTCTTGCCAGCCATGTAACCCGTGGCAAATAATTTAATCCATTTGTACCTCTTTCTCCTCAGTAAATTGGAGGATAATAACTGGTTCAGAGGGTTTTTATGAGGAAAAATAAAAAATATTTATTATATTTATGTTAATAAATATAAAATGTTTATTAAGCCATCATCATTCTGTGAATCACATACAAAAATACTCATTTCTTTCTTGTTGCATTTCAGTGGATGCATTTACACAGACACATGTAAATCCCTTAACAGAAAGAGAAAGGGATTTAATTAAATCTTTACCATAAAAGAACTTTGCCCTTGCAGATGCCAGCCTGAAGCCGAAGGTAGAATGTAGTGTGGTGACAGAGTTCACTGACCACATTTGTGTGACTATGGATGCTGAGCTCATCATGTTTCTCCATGATTTAGTGTCGGCTTATCTTAAAGAGAAAGAAAAGGGTGAGTAGCATATTCTTGTTTTGGGGATTATGTTTTTTTCTTTCAAGCTTCAGGAAAGGCAGCTGTCTGCCATTTATATGGATTTTTAATGATCTAATGATAAATGAGTACAATGTGTCTCCTTCCTCTATGAATTGCAAATATCAATAAATAAATGAAATGAATATAAATAATCTATTAGTAAGACCATGTGACAGATTGACTATCTGCTAGGCACACACAACACTCTAACCATGCCTCACGTTGAATATATTTTGTACTTCACAAAATATTTCCTATATGTATGGATATTATCAGACTTTGTAGGAGATTCTCACAAAGTAGTAAAAGAAAAAACCTCTGAAGAAATACGACTACTCAAGTGAAATGACTAGAGAAACAACTACATAATAAAGGAGCATGTTGCCTATTACTTATGATCACTAATTTAGAAAGACTTCATCTTTCATAAAACATTTGCATGTTTACTATATTGAGTGAAAAGGCTGCTTACATAAAAAGCTTCTAAGTTAGTACCACTGTTCAAATATATGTATCACCATTAACATACTAAAACCACTGCATTGTACACATTGAGTGGATTTTATTGTGAATTATATCTCAATAAAACTGTTAAAATAATAAGTCATCCACCTACAGCTGTTCTTTAGGAAACCTACAACTGTCAGTCCAGTGCCCTAGGCCTGCTAATCACATAAATGTTATCATTCTTTACCATTAGTTTTAGGCCCACAAATGTATGTAAAACATACACTATTACTCAAAAATAAATGACATTATTTCTAATTGTAAGGTAATGCAATAACTTTGATATTGGCTTTCTCCAAGCAATACCAATTATTGGCACTTTTTTAAGGCTTATTTAAAATACTACTTTAAAGAATATTTGTATTGATTTCAGAGAGAAAGGAAGAGGGAGAGAGAAACATCAATGATGAGAGAGAATCATTGATTGGCTGCCTCCTGCATGCCCCCTACTGGGGATCAAGCCTACAACCTGGGCATGTGCCTTTGACCAGAATCGAACCTGGGGCCCTTCAGTCCACAGGCTGACTCTATCCACTGAGCCAAACCAGCAAGGGCTAAAATATTTTTAAGAAATGTAATTAAATGAGACTTTGGCCAGTTCACAAATAAAATAATGGAACAAATTATTCTGTTCATATAGTGATTTAAAATAAACTTATAAGATATATATTTGCAATATTAATCTATTATTTTCATTATAGCCATTTTTCCACCTCGGATTTTATCTACTCGACCAGGACAGAAAAGTCCAGTCATTATACATGATGACAACTCCTCTGACAAAGACAGAGAAGACAGCATCAGTTACACCACTGTGGACTGGAGAGATTTTATGTGCAACACGTGGCATCTAGAGCCCACTCTTAGGTAAATAGTGGGTATATATATTTACCTATATTCTATGGGATTATTAGGAGAAAAGGTTATAAATTATGTATTAGATTATTAAATATTTTGTATTGAAAAATATATCTAGAAGTTAGCTAGTTGTAATCTCGACAACATCTGACTGCTGTTTTTGCTGTTCCTTTCTGCTATTGTAAGTGTTCGAGGCACAGACCCTGGGAATAGCTCAGTGCTGGTTAGCTGTCCACTGTGTGACATTCTGTTAATTAATCACTAAAATGTGAGAATAACTCTGCTGCCATAATGGCTATTGTTTTTTTACCCTCTCACCAAGATGTTGTTTTCAGGTAACTGAGGTAGGTAGCTACAGTAAACTTTTGTTATGTAGTTTGGGAAGATGTAGTAGAAGTCATATATTATTAAGGACCGTATAATTCTTACATATGTCATGACAATGTAATAGAGTGGACCATGTCACAGTGTCCGTTTGTCTGCATAGGAAGCAATATAAAACCATTCCTGAAATGTCAAATGTAATGCTATCAGGTTCTGATTCCTTTACTGAGTCATGTTCTACAATCATGATCCCAGTGACATCAACTTGTTTTCATATCGTAATTTTAAAAGTATTTTCTAATTTCAATTATTTTTATAATTGCTGCTATAACCAGCAGTACTTGCTTTGTATGTCCTTGTTTGTGATTAACACTCACAACGCTATTATTTTTCCCTTTCCTTTCATCTGCTTTGTTAATCAAATTATCACTGTTTGATTCATGGAATAATGGTATCAAAAAAAGTCCATCATACTCAACACTATGCAGAATGACACAGATTTCATTTAGATAAGCTTATTATTCAGACATACTTATACCAAAATAATTCTAAACTAACAAAATCTTCATTATACAGTGGACTTCTGTATAAGCAGAAAGTGAATCATTCAATGTGTTAGTAATTTGTATTCAGTGAAATTTGTTGTACCAAATTGACAAAACCCTTTGTATTAATAGCACATAAACACATGAGAAATAGTAACAGTGTCAATACTCAAACAATATTAAAATATTGCAAAAGTCCTAATGCAGAAAACTGTTTAGAAAATCTGTTTTTTATTTGTAATTCTAAATAAATATAATTGACTAGATAAGTCATCACCTAACGTTGATAAGTTGGTTCTACGACTTTAAGGGAAACAACTTTAATGAAACCAGTTTTACCATAGGCTACTTGATAGAAACAAGAGTTAAGTTCCTACAAGTTATAACAAAATGGTGTTATTCAAAGACCTGTTGTATCTTTTAATTTAAAATGAGCATAAAATAGTTAAATTTTTCACAAATATATTCCTTACTTTAGCAAACTACCACGAGACTAAATATGGTGTTGTAGTGGATAGCATGGTTAAGAGCGGTGGCTCTAAGCCCTGCTTTCTGGCTAAGTGACATTGCCCGAAGGATTTAATAACTGCTGTCTCAGTTACCTCATAAAAAAAATTTGAAAATGGTATTACCTACCTTGTAGGTTACAATTCTTAGATAAGCTAATTAACACAAAATGCTTATAACTGTTAAGAGTTTTAACAGATCAATGTTTAGTTCCTCCCTTTCCCCCTAACTGAAATAGTGGGAGAGAGGCAGCTGGAAATAAAAATGATAGTTCTAACACTGGTAATGCTGGTGACAGAATGTGGTTTGGAGGTCTGGCACCAGTGGCTTTCTACTAGAGTTCAGGTTTGGACTCACCTGCAGGGTCTCAGTGCTGCAGTGCTCGCATGGGGCAGGGCTGAAGTTGTGCTGTCAGCAGCACTGTGTACTCACCTAGCCACAGGCAGCTATGAACTAACTGTCTTGGGCTCAACTATTTAAGGACCTGTCTTTGAAAAATCCTATGGCATAAAGGAACAGATAAAAACGAATGATTTCTAAGAGAAGGTAGGGAGGAGGATACTAAACTACACTATTCAGTTCCTCCATTAATTCGCCAATCAGATAATTCATCAATAAGGGGGCAAAGAGGCCAGGAGGGTTTCCTTGATGTCTAGTCCTCTATATCAGCGGTTCTCAACCTGTGGGTCGGGACACCTTTGGCGGTCGAACGACCCTTTCACAGGGGTCGCCTAAGACCATTCTGCATATCAGATATTTACATTACGATTCATAACAGTAGCAACATTACAGTTATGAAGTAGCAACGAAAATAATTTTATGGTTGGGTCACAACATGAGGAACTGTATTTAAAAGGCCAGAAGGTTGAGAACCACTGCTATGGAAAGAAATACCAAGAATAGGAAGAAAATGGTTCTCCTTCTAACATGTTTAGCACACAGCAAACACTCTATAATTTTACCCCCCCCCCATTATGCCACATACTTGAACTCTTATTTTTTCAGCTTTATTGAGGTGTAATTGACAAAACAGAAAGATATTTTAAGTGTATGACATCGTGACTTGATATACATATATATACATTTGAAAAGATTTCCCCCACCAAGTTAATTAACATCTTTTAGAATAAACCAAATATCCTTTAAATGTTTAAGATGACTGTGTAACTTTGGGCTTAAAATAATCAGAATGAAATTCACTAAACTCCATTACTGTGTATATGCTTATTAAGGATACTTATAATCACACTTTTTTTAAATGCTATTATAGTGAATCCAGGAATTGTAGGTTAGATTATTCAAATGTACCTACTGAAGATATTTTGTTTGAGCACATTATGGAGGCTTACTGATGTGCTTAAACTTACCTTCAGGTCTGTGCTGGGACACTGTACTCCTAATTATTTTTTATAATTATTTTAGATTAATTTCTTGGACTGGAAGAAAGATTGATCCAGTAGGCGTTGATTATATTCTTCAAAAATTGGGCTTTCATCATGCCAGGACTACTATTCCTAAATGGCTTCAAAGAGGAGTCATGGACCCACTGGACAAGGTTCTGTCAGTTCTTATAAAAAAACTTGGTACTGCACTACAGGATGAGAAAGAAAAGAAAGGAAAAGACAAAGAAGAACACTAAAAAGTAACTTGATCTGTGAACAAATTATTACACCGGAGTGCTTTTTTGTATATTAAAGTTATTTTAAATATGACTTTAAAATAATTCTAATTTTATGGCCATTATGTTGAAGGTTTGTAAGTTAACCTGTTTGTTCTAGTTCCACCATTCTGTATACAGTGAAATATATTGCATGATAATGTAAATTTTGTGAAAAACTAGATTAAAATATATATCTACTCAGTAGGGTTTGTAATTGTTATGTGCAATATGATTCCTGCATCCTAAAATATTTTCAGAATAACTGTGAATTTCCTGTTATTGGCCATACTTTTTGAAAAAATCTTGTTCATAATGTGATTATTTTGGTCATTAATTGCTTTTTCTTTTTAAAAATGTAGACTTGTATAAATACCTATTTGTATATAGTTTGAGTAATTGTGATATGATTAAATACCACTAAAGTATTGTTTGTAACTATTGTAATAAAGTCACAATAATTGGTTTCAGTCTGTAGTTGTTTTTGAGTCTTTTCTTCCTTTGATAGCTTATTTTTATAACTAATAGATGCCCACCCTGTGTTAGTTATTAAATGTTTTCATAGAAGATAATACTTATAAAAATGAAATCTGTATAAATATTAGCCAAAAAGGGTGTAGCCAGAGAGAGGCATATCAGACACTTCAGAGATATTAGGTATAATTCTATTTCTTAAACTAGTGGTCAACACATAGCTGTTTGTTTTTATTGTAATATATTCTTTATGTACATGTTTATATTCTTTTGTGCATATGAAGGTAGGTGTATAGTACATACATTAGTATAATAAAAAGATTTTAAAAAATAGCAAAATCTATATATATAAAAGGCTAATATGCTAAGTGTCCGTCCAGGTAATGATGTCACATAGCAACACCCAGTTTCCTCTCCCTAGCAACTAGTCTCCTTGCAGTTTCTTCAGCCCAGGAATACGACTTGCTTTATAGCCAGGTGGAAACATTTTACACTTTAACCAAATGTCTGTGAAGCGTTTTCCCATACCTCATCTCATTTGATCCTCACAGAAGTCCTGGAGTAGGTGGATAGGAGAATTGGTGAAATCCTATTTTCTTTTCATTAGCCAAAAGATGGGAGATTTAGAAAGCTTAGAAACTTGATCCGACTGAAAAAAAGAAATGGTGGGCCTTGAAAATGACTTCAGGTTTTCTCACTGCGTAGAATATAGTCAAACACTGCCACAGTTAAATATTTTACCCTTTGTTCTCCCTGTGTGATCTACAATAATAATCCCTTTGTGTTGATATTTACTGCTGCGCTGCTGACAATTACCTGAAAGAGAAATTGGGGTGCTTCACTGGGCTGGAAAAAGTTTAGCTAAATCAGAAAGCAGGTCTAATTAAGCAAGTTTATTTTATATCTATAAAAGGCTAAGTTGACTTGCACATGTGTGATACATATAAAGCTCTGGTGCCAATCGCACGCATGTGTTTCGATCTGTCATTGTCAATCGTGAATTTGGTTGACACTCCTAGTATAGAGAAAAGGCAAATAGCGATATTAAAATATTTCTTCTAATTCATTTCCTTTCAGTGTTCACGAATTCATGCACTGAGTCACTAGTCTAAAATAATATTCAAAAGTAAATACTCTTAATCACAACTCAGTTTTGAAATCAGCCAAATCAGTACAGTCCATTTAAAAGTTGGGTAAACAATAGATTTAAAGAACCTAGAATTAGAAAACACCTCAAGAAAGCCTCTGGTTTGGAATATTGAACTTAAGTAGATAAGGCACTATTCTCTCAGATTGAAAAACAACAACAACAAAAACCCACAACCTTTCAGAAGAGCCGTGGTACTTAGCCATCCAAAGTCATGGATTGATGGGGCAGATGGACAGACAGACACAGTGTTAGGGGAATTAAAAATTGTACTCTGTTGTCACACAACAACTTAGTAATACAATTAAACTAAAATCCTAGTGGCTAGAGTCATAATTTTGAATTCTTTCTGCCACATCATCTTTCTTACCTATTATCTGCCTGATCTCTGTATTCTCCTCAATCACCTCTACAGTTGGGGGCTATAGGAACATTATATCTATTAGTCACACTTACCAGAGAAGCAAATTCTATACCTACTTTGGATCTAGTGTCTAAGATAATACTGCCAGAAAGATACTTCATAAAACAAAGTAAATAAAAATTAAATAAATTATTCCTTACTTGAGTCCTTCAGATATTAATTCTCTGCTTCAAAGAAACAGTTATGCCAGTAAGTTCTAAATGTTAAAATTTTCTAATGGCTTTAAATATTATTGATATATTAGTTACCAAAAAAAATGACATAAGTATAAACTTACAGTATTTCTGGCACTTACAGTGAGAATGCTATAAAAAGAAAAGGGCAATTTAAATTTGTAACCAAACTTTCTGTGGCTCTGTTGGGCAAGGCTATGAGAAAATCATATTTGTGCACTGCTAGTGGGAAAGTAATAGGAACATTATGGAAATTTCAGGAGAAGAGAAAAAAAGAGAGACAGAAAATACATTTAAAGAAGTAATGGGTAAGAATTTCCCACACCTGGGAAGAGAAAGGACATCCAGATCCATGACGTCCAAAGGACCCAGACCCACAACAGCTGAATGAGAATAGAGGTACATGGAGACACATTATTATTCTCAAAAGTCAGAGACAAAATAATTTTAAGAGAAGCAACAGAAAAGAGAGAAGGTATATGTATAGGAACCCCTTGAGACTGTAGGCAGAATTCTCATCAGAAAATTTTCAGGTCAGGAGAGAATTAGATGGCATATTCAAAATATTGAAACAGATAACTGTCAAACAAGAATTCCATACCTGGCAAAGCAGTCCCTCAGAAATGATGGAGGGATAAAGACTTTCTCAAACAAAACCTGAAAGAGTTCATTACCAGCAGACCTGCCAAAATGCTAAAGAGAATTCTTTACTTGAAAGTAAAAATATATATTAAAAAAAAAGCTAACCACAAAAACATAGAAAGGGAGTGTAAATCTCACCAGTAATGATAAATAGTGATAGATTCTGCAATATAGTAATAGTTTGCATAATTCACAACTCTAGTTTAAAAGTTAAAAAATAACCGTAACTACAAAAATGTTATTAGTCACACAATTTAAAAAACATGTAAATTGCAACAGCAATGGATAGATCAGGCAGAATCAATAAGAAAACAGCAGATCTGAACAACACTATAGACCACACAGACCTATCAGATATATGCAGAACATTCTAGCCAACAGCAGCAGAATACACATTCTTCTCAAGCACGCAATTACCTGCGCATTTGTGGGCGGATATTACTTCTTGCTGTAATGAGGTATAATACCATCAATCCTATTGTTATGTTTGTTTCCTTTTTGGTGAAAGTGACTTAACTCTTCAGAATCCTGTCCATATAAAAAAAAAAAAGTAGAGGGCACTAAAACTTTGTTATAACGATGTCACTCAATTCCTTCTGGGTTAGTGCCAAAACTTATTTAGTAATTTACTATTAAAAATATGTTCAACAATCTATCAGCTAACACCTCCATGAGAGCCTGCTTCAACTTTTATGAGAGCAAAGAACTGAAAACACCCACAGATGAGCGCCATCAGTTCTCAACACGTCCACCTGTTCTCACGAACATCCTGTGGAATCTCAGGTCGGTTATTCTGTCAACGAGCCTTTCCAGGCGCCTTGTTAGCGCTATGAATGGGGATAAAGCGAAGGGCTTCCTCGAAGCCATGGTGGATAAGGAGGCCCGATGGGGGTCACTGTGGACAAGGAGACCCTCCCTGTCCAGGCTCCGTGAGGACTGGGGGCGTCAGGGCGCAGAGTGAGTGACGACGCCGACCTGCGCCACCCCCACCTCACCCGCTGACCGCGAGGCC